TGCACAGCTGGACTGGGCTGCCGTCTTCGAGTATGAGAAACAGGTGGGCGTTAGGAGCCGATCGATGCCTTTTTTTGTCTTGCGACCCTTGCGCAGTGGCTCACGACATCCACGGCCCAGAAGGCCGGGGGCCGCCTCGGACTTCTTGGGAGGATCTGCTGGGCTTGGGTCCCTGAAAGAGGCATGCCCTGTGCCTCCCCACTGCGACGGTCGCCCTGGCCTCGGAGAAGGGGCTCCAGTTTCGTTTCTCCGGGCCCGAGCGCAGGCTTGCAGATTGCCGATGTCAGCTTTGGGCGAGGGTCGGCGCCTCGACCGGGGTGTGCAAGGAAAGGAAGAAGCGGCCTGAGGCTCGTGGTGTCCTCCGCAGTGGCTCAGGGCGAACTGCTCGTCGTGTGCCTCTGCTGCCGAACTTTACCACACTCCTCGAAAAGCGGTGGGTGTAGTTCTGTCGTCCGTCTCGCAGGTGTCAGGCACTGGTCCTCGCACCACAGGCCGAGCTGCAGGCCGATGCGCTCACAGATGCATTCACTCATCGCATACTGATCGTTGTGAAGAGTGGACTAGGACTAGGAACTGAGCAAAGCACAGGCAGCTGCTTCGGAGAAGTTGAAGACCTGTTCGGAGGTGACTGGGCACAAGCCTGTTTGTCGCCTTTAATGCCGCTGTGCTCGGGCCTTCTAGGAGGAGTACAAGAACTTCATGTGTTTACAGGGTGGCGCAGCCCTTACCGAGAGCAGCAAGGCTGTGTTTGATGTTGACAAGTTGCAGCCAAGGGGCTGACGAGCTGCAGCAGGCATCAAGCTTGGTTTCCACCTCAGCTGTCTGAGTAGGTTCTGCAGCTTAGTGCTTGACGAGGCCCAGACAGAATGTTGTTGGAGCACACTGCTGAGGATCGTGATCTGCGAAACTGGATCGGTAATCTGCCGAGGCAGTTGAGCAAAGTTGGCATGGGACAGAGCTTTCTTTGTTGTTTCGCTTTTGAGGCTCAAACGAAGCCGAAAGGTCGATACCAAGAGGGTCCAGAAAGCATCTGCCCAAGTACTGTAGTTTCCGGGTAGTCGGCTGGCAAAGATGCATGAAGGTCCTTCTCGCGAACTCTCTGAGCAAAGACATAATTCTTGAATCTGGCGCAGCTGATCGACAGCCTGAGCGCAGTTCCCGGTGACGGGTTTGCCCTTCAAGCCGAAGAGAGCATACACCACGACCCGTGAAGGTTCGGGTGTTGGCTCCTGCCTTCGCTGATCAACCATTCCTGCCAGCCCAATGCTGTCCCCTCAGTGAGAACTGTGAGACAGGGTGAGGGACCTCCAGTGAAGGTAGCGGAACAGTTTCTTGGTGACCTCCTGCTCCTCCGGGCCTCCAAGCCGATGGTCGCCGGCGAGGTGCCGCCGTACAGTCTCAAGGCCTTGGATCCCTACGAGCCCAAACCTCCATGGTCAGGAGTTGCTCATGTCGTGACCCGGCTGAAACGAAGCGCCGTGCAGATGTCACGGATGCCATGCAGTATGCAGTTTACGGTATACAGTATTCAGGTACGCATCAACCCTTCAGTCTGCAACCAAGCTGGCTCAGCAAGTTGAATTCTCGGAACACGTGCATGCTCAAGAGGTCCAGACACCTGCGACAGAAGTACCTCAGCGAAACCTTCAATTTTTCCTGCTACTCAGCTCGAAACGCTGGAATGCGACAAGCTTTCCATCAGCGCTGGCACAGACACTTGCAGGCATCTGCCCGCGATGCAAACTGGAGGCTGGGCAGAGACAAAGCCGACCGCCAGCACCAGAGGCTTCCGGGTCTTCGCAAGCAGCAAGCACTCGCAGGCAAGCGTGCTGGACGTAGAGAAGGCTCTGTGGGCAACGCGCTGTGCAACGCTGCTCTGCAACGCAAGCGGTGGACCCGTGCGGGACCGCGTAGGTGCAAGCAGCCCTGGAGCAGCTTGACTCGCTTACGGCCAACGCCGAGAAAAAGACACTTCTTGAGGCTGGGCCTTTCCTTTCTCCTTTCTTTTCCTTGGCTTTTGTGGGGACCTTGTCGCCAGTTGGTCGAGCATCTCGAAGGGCTTGCCAAGCACTGTCGACAGGCAATGTGACAGGGCATTGACTCTCCAGGGTGCTCTGCAAAGTCTTGCTCAGGTGATTGCTGATGGGTTGAGCAGTGCAGGCAGTTTCTGGAGAGTTTCCTAGGCAAGATGGTTTGGGACGAGGGCTTTGGTCGCAGGACCGGCCGAGCAAGAGCCCATCCAGCGGCCACTCACTGCGCTCGACCCTTGGCCTTGTGGGGATTCTGAGCATCGGAGCATCGTTCATCCTGGCGCCGCGCCGATGCGAGGAGCTTTCTTCCTGTGTTCATGGGACTTGCCTTCGCAAGGAGGGGGCTCAGAGAGCAATCCGCGCATGCCACAGAGAACTGTTCGGGTTTGATCGGAGGAAGCGCCTGGCGGCAAGGGTGTGGCGGCCCCAAGAAGGAAGAGGAAAGACCGAAGGACCTTGGCTCTACTTCTCTCAATAAGGCACGTGCTGGAGGCATACTCCGTGTGCAGAGATCTCTTGGCCAAGCACTCAGAGTCAGAGACAAAATGCTGCCAAGGTGTTCGCGTTCTCGTCCCTCACTGAAGAGAGATACTGCGTATGCTCGTGGCTGGTCAGGCTGCAGTGCATCATGGAAGCATGTGCCTTGTTTGTAACGACGGGTCTACTCGGCTCCTCTTCACCGCAAGTGCGATTCAGGTACCACGTGCACTGGTCATTGGAGACCGCTTTGCAGGCTTGCCTGCGAACTGTGTCACTTCTCACCGTGTGCACTGGCTTTTCGAGGCACATCTGCAAGGCGACAGCAGCGCGGTTCAGCTGAGAACCGAAGCTTTGCAGTCGCCGCCCTGGTGGACCGGGGAGGAGCTGAGGGTTTTTTTGTCGACGGCAACGGCAACGATTTCGTCTCATGTCCAGGTGCTGCTTCACCTTCGCTGCTGCTGACCGCCAGGCGCAAGCTCGGCAGCTAGGCCTCTGGGCTAGAGCTCCGAGTGGCAGGTTTGTGAGGCATTGGCCACCAAAGCCGGTTGGCCAAAGGCACCGGGGATGCAGAGAGCGAGAGGGAGTCTGTTACAGTTGCAAGGACGTCTGAGCCACCAGAAACCTGTGTCGGATGGCTGAGAATCCTTCCTGTTATGGACGCGAGGAGATGCTGGATGCCGTGTCTTCCTCTCTTACTGCAATCCAGAAGGTGAGGTGCTCTGCCGCGAAAAAGCTGTGGCACAACGCATCTGCATGCAAAGGCAGATCTCGATTCTTCAACACGGTGGAGGTACTCTGTGGAAAATGCCCGGTGCCCGTCGTGGAGCAGCTCCAAAAGTGTTTGGAACACATGGATACTGATGGTCGAGGAGAAGACCTTCGTCGCTGTGAACATCATGCTGCCGGAAGGCAGCTTGGCAGCTCTTCTTTGCCGAAAAGAAGAGCTCCAAAGGCTCGGACCGCTCGGAGCTCCGAGAAAGTGACCGAGGCATCGAGCCGAGCGACGTGAGCATCGACCTGGCTCCCGAGAAAGTCTGCGTGGCCCGGGCCCAACGCTGTGCTTTCGAAGCCGCAAGCGCAAGCAAGGAGTTCTGTTAGATTTCGTCGCATCTTGCAGGCTTCAGCCGGTTATCCGGACCTTATCATCGACCTTCCAGTTCCAGCTGATGCCTAAGTCTTGTGTCATTTTAGTACATACCGGTGATGAGGGTAGAAGAAGCCTCAAGAACATGAGACTGGAGGATGTCTGCCGGAACATGATCATTCTGCTTTCTCATTGGCATGAGATCGCGACCGTGCCAGTCCATAAGCCTTGAGAGTCTCAATGAAGCCAAAGCAACGAGACTTTCGAAGATGGCAACGCGGAACGCCTCCCATCGCTCTCCCTCTTGGCTCGCTGCTTGAGAGCAGCAAAATTAAGTCTTTCCTGAATGTCATGGTTCGATGTGGTTCCGGGTGAGCTGTCGCCTCGAAACGACCCTGAGCTTTGCACCCGTCATGCACACGAGAAATTGTTTTTTTGATTGTTTGAATCGGGTTGCTCTGCACGTCCGGTTCCCACGGTTGTGGTGGTTTTCCCGAGTGCGAGATTCATGCTCCCATTTGCTGTGTACCCTTTGCTTGTCGGATGAGTCCGTTCAACATGACTTCATTCTTGAGTCTTAATATTCTCTGATGAAGGTCAGGGCCACCGATGCTATGCCTGCCAAGTATAAGAGGCGCAGTCTTTTTCATTAGCACGGAATTGTCGTGTCTTTTCTTTGCATTTCCTGTATGCTGCCAGGAGCGGGAGGAAATTTGTACTGCAGCGCCTGCCTTATGCGTGTCACGAGAACGAGATCAAGCATCATCGAGCATGAATGTGTGGATCCGGACTGCCAAGGTTACCAAGATCTTGAAGATTGCAGGAGCGAAGCGGAGCGAAGCCTCGAAGCCCGTCTCTCTCGGTCGTTTTGTGGCTGGAGCTGAAAAGCTGAAAGTTCATCGAGAAGCTGCCTGTGACGATGAGATGGCCACACGGAGAGCAGCACCACCTTGCTTAAGACTGCTAGTCGTGGAGGAGGTGGTAGATTTGAGAGGCCGAGACCAAAACACAGAATTCCAGACTGCGGAGCTGGAACAGATGTGGAACGATTTCGGCCCCTAAAGATGCTGAGCCTCGTGGTTTGGCTCTGCCAGCATGTAGACACGGAAGAGGTGCCGGGAATAAAAAGGGTTCTGCTTGTGTAAATTTTCCTGAGCCTGCTGGTTAGCAATTCTCGCTCTTCGTGGAGTATCTTGACTTGGACTTGAGCTATCAATCAGAGCACCTGCAGACCGATGTTCAGCATGCGAGACGTCAGGTATTGTCGGGGCAGAAATGCTTTGCAGGGATTCCCCGATTCCATATCTAAGGGCAACGGACCTGCAAGTCGTAAAGATGCTTGCCCGCCTTGCCCATGACTGATGGCGTGAGCTTCTTCGCGATGTCCTGTAAATGGACTCCTTTTCATGGGATTGGGCTGCCGGATCCCTGTCAGCTTGAGCTCGGACCCCTGCCCGAAGGGTGCTCGTCTTCCAAGGCTCGGTGGACGTGGCACGTGCGGCCGTTTGCGAGGCCCATCTGGATATTCATTTACATTTCGATTCAGGGAAGCAGTATCGGCCGACCGAGTCCTGCAACTGCGTTGACGACTCCTTCGAGGTCGCGTACATATGTGTGTCGTGCTTTCCCTCTGGGTGTTTCTCGGATGTGGCTCTTCTCACCTGAGGGCAGCCGTGTCTGGGCGTCAGTGTCCCAGGAAACCCGATGAGGAGGCCATGTAATAGATCCTCACACTCGAAGCTGTCAGGCAAGGTTGCTTCAGCCGGTCCTCTCTGGACAGTCGGGATGAGGCCTGGCACCTTGTCCGGGCTGCTTCATTCGGACTTGTGCAGCTGTCTAAGGGCGTCTTCGATCATCCGCATCCACTCCTGTACGAGCCTTTGTCATTCAAGCGGTGTGGCACTGTGACATGACCCCGTGACGGCCTTTCAGGTGCCGCAGCCATGAGGCAAGGCTCATCGCTTTTAAAGAGAGTCGAGCCTTCATGGGGTGAAGGACGACACGCCTCGCGGTCCCACTCCTCCCTGGGCCGTACACAACACCGAGTGCGAGCGAGAGTCTCGGCGATTCCTCATCTCGAGCGTTTCTGCACAAAGACGGACTCTTCTGAGGCCAGTGGACAAGACCTCCACCGGCGCCACGCCACCTAGGCCTTATCATTTGCTTTTGAGATTCAGTTCGTTGAGACAGCAACGAGGATGCTGGTCGCAATTCGCTGCTCGCCCCCCGGGCTGCCTGAGGACGTCGTTTTTGGCTGACGTGTAGGAGCACGCATACAAGAGAGAGTCCTGTGCAGGAGCTGGATCAAAGTCACAATCAGCCTGGGCTGCTAGTGGTGCCAGCCTTTGCCTGTTCGATGCAGTTTTCTGCTCTTTGCTATCTTTCCACTTCCTTGAGGCCTTGGGCGCTGGATTCTGTCGTGACTTGTTTCGTGCTGCCCGAACTGGAAATGACGCTTTGCTGGAGAAGCTGTCCCAGTCTCAGGCTTCGTTTGTGTCTCTGCCGCCTCGGGCTTCAGCCTTTTGCCGTGTCCTTGTCTCAGGATCAAGAATGCCTACACATCGAGCTGCGTCCGGCCCTCTTCCCCACAAACCCGAACAAAAACCTGACCCAGCGCATGTCTGCAGCGAGCGCTGATACAAGGTAAACCGTGGTGGCAGTGGCGATCTGGATGACGGGACTGCCGAGGACACTGACACTGTAGCCTGCTGTCCGATTTTCACGCTGTCGTCCCGGCCTGATGTGATAATGTATCCACTGTAGCCAGCATGTTCGAGACGCATTCTGCCAAACTTTTGGTGGTCAACGCCGTCATGAGCGTCCTGAAACGAAGATGGTGGAACATGGCTTGGGCAGATTCTTCAATGGCAATCAGTCACACTCATTGGCTCCTCCCTCCCACACTGCGAAAGCAAGTGGCCCGGCCCCAGCATGTATTTTCGCGACCCTTATGGTGTGGCGCATTGTAGTGTAGTGCTGCCAGGGTTACAGGGCGAACCTGTTCAATCGAAGTCTTTAGCACTTGAGCAGAGAACCTGTAACGACACAGGCAAAGAGCAGTGTCTCGAGTCCTTCAAGTTGAGTTGTGCGAAATGTCGCGATTTGTGCAGACACCACCGCAGAGATTAGTTTTCCTGAATATCACTGCAGATTTTGATCCGTACCTGGAATTCGATGTTCCTTAAGCACTGAATTTCCGCGGGTGTCCTCAACCAAGACTGAAGCTCTCTGATCTGATTCTTGCGCGAAACTGTCAAGTCGCAGGAGGTGTCCAGCATGCTGAGTCGGGGTCTCGGCATTTCCAGACCAAGCTCAGTAGCCGAATTGATGCCTCCTGAAGTCCTGAAGTCACTAATTTCATCGCTTGCACGATCCCGCCTTGGCCAGCTGCCCGTCTGTTTGCCTGCCTGGCCGTCCGTCCGTCCGTCCATCTCTCTCGCTGTCTCTGCCTCTAAATTGGATATATAGGATTATATACACGAAAGCAAGCTCCCAAATAAACCCTGTGGGGGCCTGGGGGACATCGGGGGCAGGAGCAAGATAGAATAAGTGGTTTCACAAGGCATTTAGATGGCGCAGCCCGATTCAGGAACCATGGGCACTTGTCAGGAACCATGCGTCGAGAATGCTTCTGGAAAAGAGATCAATCCTGATTTGTTCAATACCTCTTCGCGTGCAAGGTACCAACCAACTGCCGTTCATCTGGAAAGAAAGACGCTTGAAGTTATTTCCTAAGAAACAAGTCGATTACACCTTGAATAGAAAATGCGTCAAACAAACACATGAACCTGGAGATCTCATCTCGCAGTTGTGGGTTTCTGGAAGCCAGAATCTGTGTTAGGTTCAAAGCGTTGAGTGTTTGGATTTTGGGCTTTAGGGTTTAGGGCTTTAGTGGCTTAGCGTTTTGGTTGCCCATGGCAATCAATGAGTGTTTTAGGGTTTGGGGTTCGGGCCACGTGCTCGATCGGCGTTTCATGAGGCGGCAAAATAAAACATGCAATGACTTATCAGGCATTTGTCTTTAGGGCAGGAGTGCGCAAGCATCTGCAGACAAAGCTGCAGTTTCATGCGCAAAGAGCATTTAATTCCGTTCAGGTCGCCCGTTTAAAATTGTCTGAACTGTTTCATGTTTGGGCCCTCAGGGAGCCCAGAATTTAGTTTATGTGTTTTACAGATTGCCTGACCTAAGTGTTCAAGTAAGTTTAATTGTTAGCTTTTGCAATTTCCTGGCCCCCGTGCAATCGAGGCCATCACAATTGAAACTTGTTTCCTGGACTGCTGGATTTCTCGCGCTTTCTAGACACTCGGCACCAGCGGAATGTATAGGTAAAAATAAGTCGTTATCATGGGGTTAGTTTGTGGCGGGCGGGTTGGCGCGCCGGAAGTACGATGTCAAAAGCGCTTGTTGATAATCTGGTTGTCTTTTGGTGCCTGGGGGCCTGGAACGTAGCAACTTTTGAGTCAGGCACTTTAATCGCTGGGGAAGTAGTTTTTGATGGTGGAAGAGACTCGAAGGCTTCAACTCTGAGGTTTCTGGGGGCCGGGCACTAAATGAATTGGCCAATGTGAATACACTAGCTTACTGCTTTCAATTCTTGGGCATGTGGCTGCGGCTTTGAATGAGTTTAATGCTTTGAATACGGGGACTTGGGCCGGGAAATGAAGCGGGGCAGCTGATGTCAGACGGGGGCAAACAAGCAACAACTTATGAAACAACAATACTGGTGCTAAAATAATCAGAGCTGTGTCGACAATCGCAGTGACAGAGCAGCTCATGTTCTCACAGTATCAGTAGGTCGCAATAACGCAGTGGCAACAAGCGGTCGAAGTCATCGTGAATGTGGCGCTGCCATGCAAGCTGGGACCAAGTGCGGGCATGCCCGAGATTACACGCTTAGTTTCTCCAAAGGCTCACCTTTGAAGGGGTGTGGACAGCAGGTGCGGGGAAGGGTTTGGGGGAGGGGGGTAGGCATAGTTCCTATCCTGGACACTGAAGCGTCGGCAGATAGTTGGTTTGACATGCTTTGAGCTGGAGTCGAGGCTTTGCTCGAGATGTCGGTACAGGAGAGACGTCGGAACCTCTACGACGCACAGCAGAGGTTTGATCAGAATTGGCTCCCAGTTTGGCAAAACAGGTTGCTTGGAGCAGCAGCCAAGCATGGCGAAGCACTGGTTGCCACGGGCCTGGCTTCACGGGCCTGGCTTCACGTTCCGGCACTACCGGCGACCAAACGTGAGGTGAGGCTGCTGCTGTTGAACTCTGCGAATCCGACAATTTCCGACAGTCGCGGTCGTGCCGCGTCAGCACGGTCTTGCACAGCCCTGTTTTCTCCAGTAGTGAGCAGATTACAAGGCATGGCGTTGCATCGCGCGGCCGAAGGTGGCGATTTGTGCTGGCCCGAGTTTCGGTCATGTTAGCAGCAAGTTGTGCCATGCGAGAGTACAGAAGGCTTACGACCCTCTTGGTGCTGGATCGCCTACAGAGTGCAGACCGGTTCCTTTCTGTTACGGACCCACGCTTTCGCTCAAGGGTCTGGGGTTTTCGAAGATCAACGGTACGTCTTGAGAAGTTCAACTTTGCCAGGTTTGGTGAAGGTCAGTGTCGACGGTAATCACGATTTAGGATTTGTGCTGGAAGCACGGGGCGATCAAGCATGTTACCGAAGCGTTCGTCCCATGATCCGGGCACCCGGTCAGTACATATTCAGCTTCTGCATGCTCCAAGGGTCGACATACGGGTTTCGCAAGCTTTTCTAGTTTCCTGAGAGTCGACTGGTTTGGAAGTTGTTGAGAGCATCTTGTGAAAGCTTCTTGGCAGTGAGCTAGCAAGATCTTGGCGGGAATCGTGCGCAAAAGCTGCGAGGATTTCGTGGACAACCACGGCGAGACCCCTGGAGTGGTTGCCTCCTCTGCGGGCAGCAGCGCAGTCTGTGGAGCCTTGGAGGCTGAACCTTGTTCGCAGCAACTTCTGCGATGTCCTGCGAGCTTGTGCCGTGACAGATCTTCGGGGACATGCAGCTGAACGCAGAGCAGCAGTACGTCGGTCAGCTCGGCAAGCCAGGTCAGTGAGGACGGAGGAGACTCCGCAACTTGATCTTCTTGTCGGCGAGGAGTGCGGAATGACATACTCTCGTCTTTGGACTTCGGGTCTGGGACTTGTGGCGGTGGTGGTGCCACACCAAGTTGTTCCGCAATCTTAGGTCCGAAGCTGCGGCTTCACTGCAATACCTGAGAGAGGCGTGCCGGTTCCCAGCACCCGGTTTCAGAGCCCCGGGTATTTGAGACATTTGCAGGCTTCTCTGGGGTCAGCATTGGTGCCAAAGATTTGGCCCCAAACCCAGGCAGCGGCAAACCGAAGAGTCTGGCCTCTGCTTTGGGCAAAGATTGATGTGGCATGCAGGCTGGCTTTGATCTCGCAGATGCGCTGAATCAGGCCGACGGCTTCCAAGGAGTGAAGGCCGGGCAATCCTATTCCTGCGTCCTCCCTGTGAGGCCTTCCAGGGCTTGCAACAAGCTGAGGCCAAAGTGAAAGCACCGCGAGCCCAGCTCTGTAATGGTATGTGCGGAAGGATCTCCTGATGAACGGCAGCTGGAAGCCGAGTCAGCAAATGCCCCGGATGAACGAGCCGTGCATGGCTGTATGGTACAGGGACCGTGTCGACAATTCCGCTTTCGCCTTGTGAGGTTCGGTCTACCTGCAGGACCGAAGCGCAGCATGGCATAGCGGCGAAGCACTCGTGTCTTATTCATCAGGTATTTTATGCAGTGCCGCTTTGATGTCTGATGTCATGCTGCAGCATTGGAGTTTGCAGGACTGAAACAGGTTGTTCGCACAATTGACCTGCGGGTCCGCTGGCAAAGGCAAGCAACAGCCCTTCGCTGCTCGAATTTGGTGTTCCTGGTGATACTGTGAGTTGCGCCTGGGTTCGGCTTTCCTCACACAGCCTCTACATCTGTGACAGCTTCGGAGCAGGATAGTCTGTGGTCGATGTAGGACAGCATGTTCTTTTCGGTTGTGCCTGCCAAGACCGCGAAGGCTGAGAACTGATGCCATGGCTGGCACGAGTGCTAAGGTGCCAGGGAATGTGTCGATGTGTCAGACAGCTCTGTGATTTGGCTCGCAGATCTGAGTAGAAGACGGCCGTGTGCAGGTTTTGGAAGAGTTCTGGCAGACTCACTTGAGTGCTGCCAGAATGGTGAGGTGCCTAGGGCCTAGCTCTTGCCAGAATACTTGATTCCTCCAGAGCGAGCGACCGAGGCGAAGCTCACGAGAGGGGAAGGCTCGCAGTGGCGATCTGTAGTGATTTTGACTTTCGTTCTCGACGAAGGCAATCTGCAGCAGATCTACTTGGGAATTCTCTGGTGGGCCCAGCCACCAGTGCTCACGAGAGCCCAGTCACCTCAGCTCTTGCCTGTCGCCAGGCTCTTCACCCGCGAGTCCTGGCTGCCGCACATTATGGAAGCCTTGGCAGGCAGACGCTCCGAAACATGTTTCTGCTGGCACTTCTGCTTTGCGTTGTTTGATCAGGCTTCCTGCGCGAGAGCTGCACAGAGGTCTGGATGCTTCCGGTACTCCTTGGGATATTGTTCGACCACAGCAGGTCATGAACGCTTTTGAAGCGATGGCTCTGCAAAGTCTGGTGCAGGCTCGTCAAAATAATCTCTTGAAAGTGGCACGAGCCCTTCGATCATGCCATGCGTTCCACAGGCTTTGTCCCCGATGGCGTGCTGCTGTCATGTTGGTGGTGAGTACATCGCGCAGGCATACCATTGCACGTCATTGTGACAGGCAGCTGGTGCAAGCTGCAACATGTTACTTCCGACAGCAGGGAGCAACCTGGCTGTAGTGTGCTTCAGCTTCGGAGGTTTCTTGCATGAAGCGCGCCGGTGTTTGCGGTTTGTTGGGATAGCCAGGGTCTCCAACCCTCGAGCCGCAAAAGCCCATATTTTGTTGCTCCAGCATGTAGTCCTGGCTCTCGTCACACACAGCGCATGTTATTCGATGTCCCACCCATTCCTGCAACATGTTTACAGGCTTAGCTGGCTTAGGCTAGGCGGGTTTGAGTTGCCGTGTGTTCTTAGCATGGGCATGTGAGGTTCGACACGAAGGCGTCACGTTCAGACCTATCGCATGCCACTCAGCAGCTTCTCGCAGAATAATTAGTAAGCTGCACTGATGCCACGCTCAGGTTCTACCTGCATCGGTGCTGAAGAGCATGATCGACAGGCCCGGAAGATGATGCGCTGTTGCACAAACTTTCCACCTAACATCGCTGGCCTGACATGTTGTAGCTACAATTAGTGCTCTCTCACATCGCTGGCTTGCTCGCAGGGCTGCTTGCATTCTCGTTTGGTCATGCAACTACGTCTTCGGTTCCATGCCGCTGCCGCTGTGCAACGAGGTTCTTGCTGTGCAAAGAAGAGCGGCAGCCGCAAGCCCGGAACTCCCACGGTGCTTGCGGCATTCCGCATGGTGTCAGAATGTTAGACCATGCCGTGAGAACTTGCAGTGCCGGGTCGTGTAAGGCAGTCCTCTGTTGAGGCGCGCCACTTCATTGCTTTGGGTTGCGGAAGCTCACCATTTTGCTTTTGCCGGCAAGGCGACAGATCCTGTAGATGCAGAGGCGCCCTGCAGCCTCATGGCACAGAACGTGACTTGGAAGTTTCCTCTGAGCCAGGGTCTTGACACTGGCATGTGGTTCGTCCTCAGCCGGAGCCACACTTGCAAGATTTGGCCTTTACTCTGCCGCAGCTTAGCCATCCCTTGGGCCTTGCTGTCTGAGGCCATGGTTCCTTCCCCACTGCTTTTGCGGGGGTGTCAGTATTGCTGTATTGCGCACTTGCAGTCGCTGCAATGCGAACCATCCGAGGCCTCTCGTTGGGATGCCGGGAAGCGTCTGGCCAGCCCGTCAGCTAGCACATAAGGAATAGCCAACAGTGACAGCTCGAAGTGAGGCCAAGACCAGCTCGAACGCGAAGCCCTCGGATGCATGGTGAGCTTGCATGCAGTCAGCAGTCGACTTTCTGCAGGTCCTGTTGGCGATCCAAGCAGACCCAAAGTAGGTGCCCAAGATCGGCATTGAATCATGCCTAGTACCACCGAGCATCGCCGAGCTCTGGGCTTAAAGATACATTGCACAACACAAGAACGACAAGTCGATTTTGAGAGAAGTCGAGAGCGGCATTCCTCAAACTCGTGAAAGAGGACGCTGGCTGATCTGGCTTCTGTTATCAGAGATAGTGCAGGTGTGCGTCGCGCATCGTTGCAACGGCCTGTGCTTCTGCACGTACCTGTCTCACATGTCTGCAAAGGTTTCCGAGCTTTCCGGAGCACATGTCCCTGAAGGGTGGTGGCGATGACGTGCCACGCTCTAAGAAACCTCGCGAGATACTCCCCGTCAAGATTTTGATTTGCTTGCCTTCGGCGCGAGCACAGCATGGCGCCCGCAGCCCGATCCCAGCCTCAAGCGCCACAATGCCTTCGTCGCTGTCGAGCTGCTGCCATGAGCAGAGTCTATCTGGAGCAGCGGGATGCAAATCACGTTCCACCACCACACACTGCAGCCGAGGTCTCGCATGCAAATTTGCGACTCCTGAGGGCAGAGATGTTTCTTCACTTTGGAGCAGTGTTTGGAGCCTCAGGTGAGTGCCGCCGTAGAGGCTGCAGCAGAGGCCTGCTGGTTCTTCGGTCTTGCGACCGGCTGTGAAGCGAGTCAACAGGCCGTCGCCAACTGTGACGCGCTGATCTTTACGGCAGGCAGGGATAGCAAAGCGGCAAAGCCTGTCAGCAATGCGGTCTCGCCCTGCTGCAGGTGCCGGGATGGGAGTGGATTGTGGTTTGCCCGACTTCAGAGGCTCTAGCGGTCTCTTCAAAGACCGTGAAGTTGCCATGACCTACGAGGTGGCTCACTTCGTGCGTTGGTAGTTGGCGACCCTATTGTATCACATCCTCCGGCTGAACGATGCCTCGTTAGGAGATGAGCGACGACAAATGGTTTGCAGAAGATCCCTTGTTGCATGTCCGAGAATATGTCTCTTGCGACAGCGTGGCTGCGGGGCGGCTTGCTCTCCGTCTCGCATGTGCGGCAAACATCTTCAAACATAGAAAGGAATGCGTGCGCATGTCTGTCTGTTGCTTCAGCGCTGATCAGGTTTGCATGGGGCATCAACTACACACAGCTATCGATGTACCGGCATACGCAGCCTCATGAAGGCACCTGTCCGGCCATTCCGGCCCCTCCCTCCCTCCCTCCCTCCCTCCCTCTCTCTCTCTTTCTCTTCTCGCTCTCTCCCTCGCTCGCTCTCTCCCTCGCTCGCTCTCTCTGCGCTCTCGTCTACTCGGTCTCTCGCTGTCATGCTCTCTTGCTGCTGGCTGTCTCGCTATCTCTCCCTCTCTCTCTCTCTCACACCGTGTCCGACGTGTCAATAATTGTTGAAGGCTATGCGGTGTTGCTGCGGTGGGCCACAGCCTTGGGCAAACCATACTACGTCTGGACCTCGAACATCGATGGAATGTTCGAGAAGGTCGGCTTCTCTCCGGAGAAAGTGGTGACTTGCCACGGGGACTTACATCATCTCCAGTGCACGAAGGACAGGCGGAAGTGCCTCAGCTCTGAATCTAAGCATTGTGTGGACTTGGGTTTCAGTTGTGTCTTCAGATGTTGCTGAGGTGTAGAGGGTCGCGCGAAGATCGTTCAGATGAAGTTTGGCCTGCTGCGGTAATTCCGGATGGACTGGATGCAGAGATAGATCCTGGGGCCAGAGTGCTCAGTCGCCTTGTCACAGCCAAATCAACATCAATGAATCGAGACACGCGCTCGCGTTCGTGTGTGTGTATGTAAATTAAAGAAAAAAGGGTATATATATATATATATATACATGCATGTGTGTCTGTGTGTAGATTCCGTTGCATTCCGACGTTTCAGGGTCTTCGCTTCCGTGATGCGGTGCATTTGGAGCGGGACTGCTTCAAGTGTCCTCGGTGTGGATCTCTGGCAAGACCCAATGCTGCAGGCTCAGTCTGTCATGCCAGTGTGTTGAGGAGCACATCAGAGTCATCTTTATTGGTGCCAGTTTCAAATGGACTCTTTTCAGGTTTGGTTTTGTCACGACAAGAACTACAATGTGGCTGAGACTGCAAGCCATTCCAAACAATAGCAACTGCATGACGGTGAAGCGGGGTCGTCCATGTTCGACGGCTTCAGGACAACCTTCATGTTGTCGGAGTCGAGCTGTTCGTCCTCTTGTCAGTGGTTCAGTGATGTACCCGGACAAAGGCATCCACGGATGCCCTAGTACGCGGCGATGAGTACAATCAGTCCGCTACTCAGAGCTGCGTGCTTGAGACTTTTGATTCCAAGCTTCAAAGGTGGCTCTGGAAGCTGCATGAAGACGAAGCTGCAATCGTGGTCGTTGAGTGTGGAGGGGGGCTTGCTATCCCCAGCGTTCGTGTTCAGGGTGAGGCTGGGTAGACTGCGCAGAAAAGCTAACCGTGCATCAGACGAGCAGCTGTCAGGATGCGGTGGATGGCGGGGGCAAAGGATCCCGTCTGATACGGATAAATCCGGTCCACTGCAAGGTGTCACACAGGTTTTTTCCATGGTCTCGGTTGCACGACTGTTCGTGCAGGTGCCACCGACGAATGGAATCGGCATTCCCATGGGCAGCATGCAAGGCCCGGCTTTACGGAGTTTGCGACACCGCTGCGAGACATCGATCATGCGGGTGCACGGGTGCAGGGCTCAAGCTCCTCGACGCAGCCGTCATGAAGCCAAAGGCAAAGATCAAGTGCAAGAAGGATGTCAAGGTGCGACGGAGAGATGTCTCTACATTGGCTCAGAATATCCGCATTGTGTCGAGGCAGCCGCCCGGAAGCCATCTCCAGGGCCGCGAAAAGCCGTCAAGTGAAAGCAATCTGATTTTTCTGGAGTCTGGGGGGTGCTTCGCTGAATATCGGCTTAGCAGACATGCCCTGCAGTGACAAATGCCTGGTAACGCAAGATCAGACTGGTTAGCGCCGCTTGATTTCAATACGAGAAGCTTGTCGTCCCCAGGATCTTTCCGGCCGGGACTTTGTTTCGGCTGGTCCGCATGTCACGAACGACAAGTTCCGAGCTTGATTCGGAGGCATCCAAACAGAACGCGGACACAACCGCCGGTTTCGAGTGTTTTGCCAGGCCTGCCCAAAGGGCTCAGCGATGCAGTGGCCTGTAACGGTGATCGAACTGGCCGCCACCGACCCACGACCACAGGACGCAAACCTTAGGACAAGTCTGCTTGGCGAATCATCGAAGACTGTCAGGCCTTCTTGCTGTTGCAGCGGAAGGGTTGCCTTCGGCCAGGCGAGATTCAGGCCAACGGGCAAAAAGGAATCTGTCGCCCCGTGTTGTCCTGCTTTGATCTGCCTCGTGCAGGATGCACTCATCTCCTGGGCAGCAGAGCAAAAAGGCACCACAACCTGCCAGTGACGATTGAACCTTGAAGACGTGTCAGTCAGGTGCAGAGCGTGAACAACGTGTCCGAGATGCTGCAGCATGGCACCAGCCTGATCATGTCAAGCCTGTGTCGCCCTGTTTCCACAACCTTCCCAACATTTGGGGCTGGCACGGCTTACGAAGGTTTATAAAGTTCGACTGAGACGGAACTAATGAATTAAATGGCAAGTTCGGAGATTCGGTGTGCTGTGGCATGGACGACATACCTGGAAATCTTGAGGTACCACGTCTGACGTATGCCTTCTTGCGAACCTGGATCACGCTGGATCATCTTGAGGGACAAGCCTGCTCGCTGAAAACTCAATCATACCCTCTTCGGCATTCGTCTCAAGGCGCAAGATTCCCATTCTAGGATTCGCCATCGAAACGACCCAGTGACGCGAACACCAGCAGGGGTCATCATTGATTGCAACGTCTTGTTGGATGTAATGATTGGCTCTGGCCGCAGACTGTACATACATACATACATACATACATATACAGATACATTATATACATACACGCACGTAAATTATGGTTGTGCATATATATATATATATATAATATAGCAAATATAGAGATGTATGGACCAGGGCATAAACAGGAGAAGTTTGATGGTGTTTGTGGCCTGTCATTCAATTCTGAGGCTCTACCAAAGCGCTGAAGTTGAGGCGCCCGCAGAGCCACGAAAGGTTGGAATGTGCCAAATACGGGCCACTTCTCCCAAGGCAGCCGAGATGCTTCTGGAGAGGACGGGCCGCTCGCGAAGGGCTTTGGATGCCGCGATGCGTTTCGAATCTCACCTAAGGTCGCCGCAACCTGCGGTAGACGTAGCTGTGGCAGCGGTGGATGATGTGGTGCAGGAGGCGGGTGTATGCCCATGCCAAGAGAAAGTTTCCTACGGCAAGCAGCCGCAGCTACACGCACACCCTCACCTGAAGGAGAGGCTGGTTATAAATGTGTTGGAAAAGCGCCCAAGACAGCCTGCACGCTAATTGCTCAGGAATTTGGAAAAAATCGTCCGTCCATACACTTACTGTTGCCATGAACAGTATTTGTACCTGCTCAGGTTCCATCCTGCCCACGTGAGCAGCTGGAGTAGGCTTGAGCTGCTTGTGTTAATGAAAATAGCTAATGGAACTTGTGCTATAGCTGAACACCAGCTTGGCATCTCGGGCAAGCTTCGTCTGATCCAACACGGATGCAGAGTGTCGACAAAGTGAGAAGGATTTCGCTGGTCTCTTCCCATTTGTCCTGCGCAGCGAGAGGAGGCCACACTATGCCTTGGCTCACAGAACACGTGGCGTAGTTGGTCAGGTAGTTCACGCGCAGACGGTCTGGCTTTGAACTAGTCGTGATAAAAGTACGCAAGCAGGCGAAGCGAATCGCGTTTAAAGCCGCACACCGGGAGCCCCGAGCCCCGGCCCACGGCAAATGGCCAGCTCCAGTCTGTCACCCGGACATGGCATCCATGGCGTGACAGAGCGCCTGAGCAGACCAAGCAAACTGCACTTGCCGAGGCATTGACTCGCGACCTCCATTTTCTTGGCCGCAAGTGGCGGCGGTGGCTCGTCGATTTGGTGATTTTCAGCTTGAGAAGCGTGTGCCTCGGATCTCGAGAGTCTGATGTTGACGGGTGCTGTATGCGCAATTTCGAATCGGCCGCTTGGCATTTGCTTTGTCTGAGGTCGTTGCCTTCGGAACGTGACCTAAACTTTTTGCTCAGGCCGACTCGTGTTTCGTTCTTGCCTGGCTTAGACTGCAGACTTCTGAGCAGGTCAGCCGATGCTAAGGCGCCGACGAACTGTCCCAGTTGTGAGCCTTGCCTGTCAAACAACCGCAGGGCGACCTCATCGTTTTCAAGGTGCACAACCCAGAGGACTCGCGAGATTTCGTCGAGTGCCAGCCTGCACCTCAGCCTCAGCCCAGTGACACGGCAGACATGAGCAGACCTATCAATTTGCCCAGGTGCCTCGCTTTGGAGTATGCGACGGCACGAGGTGCGAGCTGCCAGCATCTGTGCGCGCCTCGGGACTTTGAGCTGAGTCAGATGAGAAGGGTCATGCTGCGCTGGGCGACGCTTGCGTTCTCTTGACAAGGTTACGATCTCAAGACACAGGTGAGGCTCTGTTGGCAATGGATTTACCAGAAGGAGCCTTTGGAAAATGAGGATTCTCGCAGCTGCAGAGTAGAATGTCCAACATGGCAGGAGAAGGCAAGCGATGCTTCTGCAGAGCTTTGTCCTTTTTGCCCCGACCTCGGAGCCTCGTCTCGGCCCGTCAGCGGCATCCGGCATCGCCGGCATCCGTCCGACCAGGCCTGGGCAGATGCTCGCGGACGCTGCCGCAGACGCTGCCGCCGAGGCGCGACGCTCGCGCCGTCGCCTCCCGCGGTGTATCCTCCATGTCGCGGCGTCCAGGGCTCTGGCAAGCTGGCTTCGCTGTTTGCAGCTGTTGGGGAGGCGCGAGAAGGAACTGGATGGGCCATCGGAAGCCTTGCTCTCGGTCCCGCGAGGCTGTTGGAAGCGTCACGGCGGTTCCGGTCTTAGATGTTGAGAGACTGTCTTTCGTTGAGGCTTTGATGCCAGTCTCATGACATAAGGCCTTGCAGGAGTTTCAGCATGCCGCCGCAACTCGTGAGTTTGCAGTAGCCTCAGCACCGTGACCAGCTGCTCCCACTTCTCGTTATGTCAGTGTCGAAGGTATGGGATCTGCAGCGATGCTTTGAAGTAGTCGAGTCGCACATCGGTGACGTCAAGGAGGCCGGCACAGCACAGCCAGCTCCAGTCAATGCCATCCCGAATTCCTTGTTGCAGGGGCATCAGCAGGATCTGGTCCGACGGGTGACCCGGTGTCTCAAAGGTCGAGATTTTTTAGCACAAGCCAGAAGAGGTGTCTGCCAGTCTTGACGAGGTGATAAGCGAGAGAACGTAGAAACGAAATGCTTTACTTTGACTCAAGTCAGAACCCCGCGCCGTCACTCGTCAGACTAGGACGACTGCATGTCTGGAGGTACTGGATGCCCAGCGATTAAAACTGACATCCTTGCTGCCGAAGCTTCGGCGAACGATGCCCGGTTGCTTGCATTCCGTCTGAACCGCGTCCTCACTCCTTCGACTGAGGATCTATCGTCCACAACGACCCGAACGACTACAACCTCGTCGTTGGGATTGATGGCCGGCAAATGTTTCATCAGAGTAGACTGTGGGCTGTCGCCTGGGCATGTCACACGTAATTAGCTCTGCTAGACACAGTCGGATATTTGTATTGTTTCCGCCTTTGTCAGGTCGGGTTGGCGTACTGGACTTCGGAGACATGCCAGCAGCTTAATACCGCTTCAGCTGCATGTTAATGCTGAGTAATTGCGTGTGCGGCTGCTGTTAGTTAGGCTGTACAGTTACACGTGCTCGGATGCGGCGATTGGCATGGCTGCAGTCTCAGCCAGTCCGTTTTTCGACGGCGCTCTGTTGGTCGTGACTCTGATGCTGCAGGCATATCTTTTCTTTCATGTGCCTGAACATACTCCACTTGCAGAAGGCGATGCTGTCTTGATAAATTTAGCATGCTGAGCTGTGAAACTGAGAGCAGGCGTGCGGCCGTTCGTTGAGGCATATCATCAGAAGTGTCCCCTCGAAGAGGCCAGTTTTTGAGAGCAGGAGAAAACCATGTCAAACTCATGATGTCTGTGCTGTATGACTGTATGCTGTTTCTCTCACTTCCAGGCTGGGCTTGGCATAGTTGTTGCCTCTTTCGAGGCCGAAGCCGATGCACTCTTTGCGCTGGCCGTCTGTCGTGCCTCGGCCTCGCTCTTCGCCAGTGCACCCGCCTCACCCACGTCCCCCCTCGATCTTCCGATATGGAGACAGACACGACTGCCGACTGCCTGTAGCAACCATTCTGCGCTGCATGTTCTTGGAATGCACGACGACCTGGTCGAGGCCAGCAATGCGAAGGCCACCGAAAGCCCCGCGACACGACAGGCACACGTCACATCACGAGGCTCAGCGGAGAACCACGACAAGTTGCATGGATGTCCGTCTTCAAAACTCTTCAAAACTAGTCAGGACGAATCAAAAAGATCCACGATGGAGAAATGATCCCGAGCTCACGGATTTTCGCCAAGTCCTTTTTTCGAGCCCCCATCCCGGCGAAGCTTGTATCTAGACGCTGAGCGTATCTATGGATATACCTGCATGTTTATGGAGGATACATAGTACTGGAGATATCGTATACTTACCCTCATGTCACGACTTTGTCGATCAATCTCGAGCTTGTTTCGATTTGTAAGCGTCGTCAATGGCGCAGTTTTTGCCTACGCCGAGGTTTGCACCTCTGTCTGCATGTCTGCATACCAGAGCAGACTTGATCCCGGCAATGAGTGGGGGAACTCAGGCTGTTGGATGGCTTTTCTCTGCGCATTTTGTCTCCGCGGCCAGAGGTATCTGCTCATAAGCGCGAAACCTGCCTGGAGGCAGGAAGATTGTCGCATCGTAGACGCTGGTACCCAGTGCAAGCATCCCTGCACAACTTCATGCAGCGTCAAGACGATCGTGTAGTTGTAACACTGCCCTTTCTCTTCCGAGATTGCTGGAGAGAGTGGACACGTTCCCGGGTGATGCTGCCAAGGCCAAGTCGCAGTGCCCTGAACAATTAGGCTATGTCGTTCGCCGCTGCAGTCCTCAGCAGGCAGTCACCTGATAGAACTAGTCCTTGGGGTTGAATCGATATGCATCCTTCGAGCTCCGCAATAGGCTAGGCCCACCAGCAAGGGTTCAAGGGTAAGGCGTTAGGCTTAGGTTGACCAGTAGTGCGCACAGCTTCTACAAAATCAAATCAAGATCCGACAGGATGGACACATGCAAGTCGTCCTTCTGAAAACCAATGCTCAGTGCGTAGGCCCGTCGACTCAAGATCAGTATCAGTATCTGTTATTCTTGGCTGTACTTGGGAAACCAAGGCGATGCACAGAATTCACCCTTAAACACAGCGAAGGGCACAAAGTCGATGCAACGCGTCAAGCCAGATGGGATTAACTTTAGGGAAAGGTGGTCCGTCGACGCGAACGGGCGAGATGCAGTTCCTGCTCCGGGTATGTGGTGTAAAACTTAAGCTTGCGCTTGTTGCAGTGACAATCGTTCACGTGGATGGTGGGTTCTCTTTTGAAGGTGTTCCGTCCGTGGCCATTTTGGACTCAAGGGCGACACCGGTCTTTTGGTGAGCCCAGGAACAGGTGGGAGGTACATGGACTTAGCAGTCGTTCCTTTGACAGGGCCACGAGTCTTCGCCTTTGGCGGCTCCGTGGCCTTAGGTTCGTGGGACTGCTGGGTTCCGTGGACCCTCCTTAGCTTGTGCTTTTGCGTCTGGGCCCTTGGCTTCTGGTGCGGCTTCTGCCTTACTCGGCCGAGTGGGCGGGCTGCGGCAGGCCAGACCCCGCCGACGCGGCCTCGTGACCCCGCGGGCCGTTGGGAGGCCATCGCCCGACGGGCACTGAACTTCGTTCGGAGCCGTCGCCGGCTTTCTTTGGCCTTCAGCCACCTCGGGACCTACTCACTTCGCAACTCCGAAACCGCCAAGCCTAACTTGAGGCGAAGGGCGGCACGCAGAGCCTCTACTCCCGGGCCCATTCTGCACGAGGGCCCCGCTCTTCAACATGGACCCGACGGAGGCCGAGCTGCAGGCGATCACCGACTTGGCAGGAGTCCTCGCATGGGCAGGGGTGACCGGGGGCTTGGAAACGGCACTCCGAGCCGCCCTGGGAGGCGAAGCCCGCGTGAGGGAGGTGGCCCTCGTTCCTAGACCTGCCTGGGATGCCATGGCCCAGGCTCTGCAAGTGGCCGGCCCCAGTGTCGCGGACGAAGCACCGGGTCCACCGCGTGACCTGACTCTGGTCGAGAAGGCAAGGATCGAATCCACTCGCCGGGTGGCCCTCATCTTGATGGGCATCGCCCCCGATTCCCCGGCACTTCGGGCCCACCGGCCGCTTCTCCGGCCCCAGGCCCTGGACCACCACCATCAGCCTCGCCAACAGGGGCCAGGCGACTTAAGCTTTCCTCCGTCCTGGACCCCAGGCTCGACGCAGAGGTGGCTCCATTGGGCAACGCCGAAGTCCAGAAGATCTACCAGGACTACAAGGCGAAGTTCGGGGATTACCCGAGCCCTGACTCGGATCCTTCGGCGGATCAGCTGGCCTCGCTTCGTCAGGTTGTGACGGCAGGCTCGGCACCCTACGCCGACTTCTCCCTCTTCGGACCCCATGGCCTGAGGCTCTTGAGGAAGCAGACCTTCACCTCCTACATCCTCAATGTGGCCACCGGGGAGTGGAGTAAGAAGGAGCAGCCGGGACCTTCCTCCTACCATGCCTGGATGGAGGCTTGGAAGGTTCTTCGGACCGCCTTGCTCCTACTGGAGATCGCAGACGCGGAGCGGCTGGACGCGTACGCGGAGCATATCCGGGGGTTCGTGACCCAGTTTGGGGATTCCGCCTGGTGGTTGGTATACAAGGCGGAAAATCGCCTGCGGTGCGAACACATGGAACGTCTCCGCAGGCTCCTCCACGACAAACCCGAACACGGGTACACGCCAGCCCGGCCGTGGAACGCAGCCTTCGCGGCCGCAATAAGGCACAGCGACTTCTGGACAAGGGAGCTCGTCACTCCTGCCACTCTGTGGCTCTCCCAGCGCCAGGGAGGAGGCGGAGGAGGAGCCGGAAGCTCTACGGATGGAGGCCAGCCGGACCGTCGACCCCACGGAGGCCAGGACAGCGCCAAAGGCTCGCCCCGGAAGAAGCAGAAGAAACGCTATGAGGGCGAGGACCTTTCCGAGAAGAAGGGGGGGATCTACGTCCGCAACAGGCGCGGGGCAAAGGTCTGCGAAGGCTACAACAAAGGGAAGTGCGGGAGCAAGAAGCCACAGAGCAAGTGCCGAGATGGCAACTCGCACCAGTGCAACTTGTGCTTGGGCTTGCCAGCGAGTGCCCGAAGGCCTGACCCATCGAGCAGCCTGCTGACCCTGCTTCCTCGGCGGCGGCAGGTTCTGCGGAGGGAGGGCCGCAGCACTCACCCCCTCCATGGAGGCAGGTACATGGCTCCTACGCCCAAGCGCTCCGCAGGGCCAAAAGAGCCCGATCCACAGGAGGTCGTGGATCAGACGTGCCAATCCAAGGCACCCGGCTGTCCTCCGGAGCGAGACTGCCCATCGTCAGCCCGTGCCAAGCCGCCCACACCACCGAAGGTACGGCCGGCACTCAAGCGAAAGAGGCAGACAACTCCGGGTTCTGAAAGGCCACCGTCACCGCCAGGCCCGCCACCAGGCCAGCGTCGCGAGGCCAAGGAGGCAGCGTCCGGATGCCCGAGCAAGCCTAAGAAAGGCGGGAACAGGAGCCTCAAGACGGCCCTCACCAAGGACTTGGTCCGAGTTCCGCCGGCGGATAACTCGCTCCCCGACTTCACGCCCCTGCCTCGCGGGCCCAGGCCGTACGGCACATGGATGGAGCCTCCGTCCGACCGCCTGGTGGAACGGCCGTGGGCCCTGGTTCTTTTCAGCGGGCATCGCAGGAAAGGCGACCTGCCAAACTGGTTGGTCCACTTCGGCTTCATGGTCTGCTGCGTCGACCTCGTGGCGGACACCCCGCTCAATTTGCTGGACGAAGCCCAATGGGGCCCGCTCGAGAAGGACGTCCTGGACGGCAACTTCTCCGTGGCCTTCGCGGGCACTCCCTGCGGCACCTTCAGCCCGCTTAGAGAAGTCCGACCCGGACCCAGGCCCCTCCGGTCAGTTGAGGATATCGAGGGCATTCCCGGTCTCTCACCTCGGGAAAAGGCCCAGGTCAAGGAAGCCAACGTCTTGGTCGAGCGCACCTTCGACGTCCTGTGTTCGATGTGGGACCAAAAGAAGACCTGGGGCCTCGAGAACCCGGTGCATGGCCAGGGCCGCCCGGAGCTCTGGTTGATGCCCCTCGTCCGCCAATTGGTTCGCCTGGACCGCGTGGAGGAAGCCACCTTCGATCAGTGCAGGTTTGGCCTCGAGACTGTGAAGCCGACCCGGATCCTTTACAGCTCTCACGCCGCAGGCTTCGCAGAACTCCAGGGGCTCAGGTGCGACCACCCGAGGAACTCCCACGAGTCAGCGGCCGGTCGAAAGGAGCAAGGCCCGAAAGGCCAGCAGCAATGGGCCTCCAAGCGGCAAGGGGAATCACCCCACACCTGGCACAAGTCATCGCGCACTCCCTCTACCAAGGCTTCCGCGTCAAAGCCTTGGAACCGAGCCGCTCCCAAAGGCGAGGACCGAGAGAGAAGAGGAGAACGCGAGGTGGGAGGCATGAGGAACCCTCGCCTCTCACTGCGTCGGCTTCCTAAATCCCGGAAGGTGGGAAGGGCCATCCACAAGCTGCTGCGGGAAGCCATCAAAATGTGGCCCAACCTCCGCGAGCCTGCCACCGCCATCCTGGAGGGAAGGGAGCCGGAGGACTTCGACCCAAAGGTGGTGGACAAGGTCAGGGACTCCGTCCTTACCGGCCCCGGCGAACCGACGTCATCCAGGCCTGGGGCGGCTGGCTGGACCACGGGGCTCCTTTAGGGATCTCAGAGCCATCCCTTGCAACGGCGTGTTCCCGAAGGTCAACGCAAAGGGGGTGGCACACCATGAGAGCCTGGACCGAAGGACCCTGGAGGGATGGGCGAACTACAAGTCGGCCGAGGACGAAGCAGAGGTCCTCGAGGAGCGACTCGACGGGCAAGGTGGTCAAGAAAGCCCGGGTCATATGGGACCTAAGGGAGTCGGCCGTGAACACCGCTTGCCACCAGGGAGAACGCATCATCCTCCCTCGCCTTCTGGACGTCGTGGCCTCGGCTTTGGCCTCCTACCGCCGAGGGCGTCCTCCATACCTCGCTGGCGTGGACATTCGAGACGCGTTCATGAACATCCCAGCGGGAAAGGATAGGAGGTTCACAGTGGCGGCCCTACCTGGAAGCCGCAACAAGAAGAAGAGGAGGCACAGAGTGGTGCTCTTTAACACGCTTGTGTTTGGGTCAGCTTCCTCCCCCACCGTATGGGGGAGAGCAGCAGCCTGGCTTGGACGCACGTCCGCCGCTGTTTCCACCACCGACCTCCAGTGTTACGTAGATGATCCAATCTACGTCCTGGAGGGCCCTCTCCTCAGCACTGCGGCCGGAGACCTGGCGACCGTCCTCCTCTGGACCGCCGTCTGTGGCTTCCCCATCAAACTGTCCAAAGCCACCGGGGGCAAGGACGTTGAATGGGTAGGTGCCCGAATCAAATGCGATGACAAGAAGGAGGCGGTCACGGTGACGTTGCCCAAGGCCAAGATCGAGGCCCTCCTCCACGAGACCGACAAGTTCCTCTCCAGACCGGTAGCCGGAGCCCGCGAGCTCAGGTCCTACACCGGCTCCCTGTCATTCGTGGCAGGACTCGTACCTCACCTGAGGCCCTTCCTTTCGTCCTTCTGGGCGGTCCTCACCAAACACGGTGCGACGAATGAAGGCCACCCCACAAAGGCGGCCCGAAAGCTCATACATGTCAAGAGGATCGCCCCAGCGCCACGATGGGTTAGGGCACTCCTCAGCGGAGGCCCCACCATAGAGAGGATCTTCTACGCCAACCCCCCGAGAATGGAGATCGTCACCGACGCCTGCCCTTGGGGCCTGGGTGCCATTAAAAGAGAGGGGGGGAGACCGACGGCTTACTACTTCACCCACCTCCCGGACCACGTCCTCAAGAAGTTCGGTGCGGAGAGAGGCCTTCCAAAGTACAACACGCTTTGGGAAGGCTTGGCCTTGCTGGTCGCCTTCAGGCTCTGGCTCCCCTCCCTCACCCACGGAGCCACCTTCAGAGCCAAGTCTGACAACCTGGGCTTCCTATGGCCCTCGCCAAAGGCAATGCCAGGTCCCCCGAGCTCAACGTGATCGCTCGGGAGTTCGCTTTGGACCAAGCGGTGCGAGCCTACCAGGTGAACGGGCTCCAGCATATCCCGGGGGTTACCAACGTACAGGCCGACGCTTTGTCGCGGCAGTTTGCGCCCGAGGCCAAACCTTTCCCTCGGGACCTTTTGGGGATCACTCGTGACGAGATCCCACTGGACAGCTCCTTCTGGAAGGTCTGCTGAAACTTCAAGCGAGACCGCTTCCGCTGCAAAACAGAGTTGGAGCGAGGGTTTGCGAGTTCTGTGTGCGCGCCTCCTTCTCGCACTCCCTCCCTTCTCTCTCTCCTCTGCCGTTCGTGTACTGCAGGCCTTCGTGGACGAGACCGCCGCAGATGCCCAAGCCCAAGAGATCGTTCAGGGCTGCCTTCTGGCCGGTAAGTAACCCCCCTGCCCCATCTGTTGCTCCGCGGCGTCCCCGGGTGTTACACGAGGGCCCTGTGTTAAAGCGACCCAATGTGAACACGGGTGCTGAGGGACAGGTAGGTCAGGGCAACAGGCCAGAAGCCGGTAGCGCTAGCCATGGAACTGGTGAGCCCATGCCTTATAGCAGAGGCTCAGCTTCTAAAGCCCTCGAAGCCCTCAGCGACCCGCAGAGTTGCAGGACGGCCCTTCTGGCCGATTCCCGGGCTTCGACCGCGGTTGGCCCAGTTGAGTCTCGACTTCGCACATGGGAAGCTATGTCCGTCAAGGCTAACCTAGACCCATTTTGTCTGACGCCAGACGGCATGTATATTATAATGGGCGGCTTCAAGCAAGCGGGCTATGGATTTGCGATGCAATATCTCGACCTAGCCAAACAGGAGCATATCCGACAAGGCCACGGTTGGTCTGAACAACATGCCCTTGCCTACCGGGTGTGCGCGAGATCCTGTAGGCGAGGGCTAGGCCAAGCCAAACAGGCCGCAGCACTTCCCATGGAAAGGCTGGGAGCACTGTCTGGGGACATCGGTCACGTTGCGGCCGGCCCAGTCAAGCCCGTCTCTTCAACGATTGTGGCGGCTTGGTGGCTTGTACGAGAGATAGAGGCCTCTCGAGCAAGGGTACGCCACATCAAGCTGGACTACACGACGCTAATCGTTGAGTGGCTGCTTCCATCTTCCAAGACGGACACAGCAGCCTTGGGCGCCACACGGAAGCACGCATGTTCGTGCTCCGTGTTGCCGGCCAGCATGTGCCCGTTCCACTGCATGGCCGAACTTGTCAAGGGAAAGGGCCAGGCGAGCCAGTCTTCACAGACGAGTTAGGCCAGCCTCCTTCAAAGGCCGGCTGGGCGGACACTTTTCAGATGCTGGCCGAAAGATTCGGCTTACCCCTGTCGTGGCCAAACGGGGCACGCGCCTATACCGGTCATTCGGCCAGAGCCACCGGTGCTCAATACCTCGCAGCTAGAGGGATCGAGCTTTGGCGCATCCAAATTTTTGGCCGATGGGGCTCGGATGCTATCCTGCGCTACATCCGCGAAGCTCCGTTGGCTCGCCTCACGGAGCTAGCCATTGAAGCGGGGCACCGAGATTCCTTGGAGCGGGTCCGTGCCGAACTTGAGCGACTGCTGCAGCAAGCTAGACCGCTGTTGGCAATTCCAGACGGGTCTTGGCAAGCGGATGTCCAACAGCGAGCTCTTCGGGCCGCTTCCAACCTGGAACCCAAGGTTACCGAGCATTTTGTTTTGAACACTGCGAGGGGGGGAAAGATCCATCGATGCCTCACGGCGCTAGGCGAGCCAGCCAATGCGCTTTGCCCTGGCTCTTGGCGAACCTGTTGCCTATGGCCTTTCGCCTCTGGAGGCGCTCACTTTCGATGGGTCAAGTCTAGCCAAAGAGGCAAGAAGTGCAAGCACTGCTTCCCAAAGGAGCGTTCAGCACCACAGGACGAACAAAGTTCATCCTCTTCCTCCTCGTCGTCGTCGAGCAGCAGCTCTAGCGACAGTTCATAGTTACACCATCAAGCAGCCACGCAAAGCAGGTCGGATCACAGGGTGTCTACTAGAAGGTCAGGTGGGTGTCTTGCCCATTTGAGTTTCCTGTCCAAAAGTGGCAGGTTAGCAAGTGGAGCGACCTTCCACGACCAACTGTTGAAAAGTACCTGCTCTGCCTGCTATGCAGTAATGGTGGCTTGCTTGGGGAGTGGTAAACGATTGTCTGGAAAGGTTTCGTTTCTGCATGATTACAAGACGTCAGCAAGCAAACATTCAGAGATTCCAACCACGGCTTTGAGAAACAAACTGACCCACTCCTCTTGCTGGCCTTGCAGTTGGAGGCACAGAGTTCTGTGCCAGGTCGGGTTGCGAGAAGCATGCGGTTTCCAGGCAGCTTGAAACAAGTTGTGGAGGCGTGCAGTCTTGCAGTCTCGTCCCGTTTTGGGCTCTTGTAGGAGCATGTTTCGTGCGAGGCCGCAACTTCGCCGCAACGCGCTTTCTGCAAGATCCCTTCGGTGAAAAAACGTCCCTCGGATAGTAAATGGATGGGCCAAGCAATGCGCAGTTTCTCAACGTCAGAGCTGCCGCTGACGTCTTGTCTGCGACAGGCTCAAGCCCCAAGTTTTGTAGACTTTGTTCATCCGATTGTTGCAGAATAGCCAGACTGGTCGTTCGAGCTATGCAGTGCGAGTCGAGTCGCGAGTTTCTACATTCGCACGTTGAGCCTTGAGTTGCACCTGCAGCCACCAGCATGGCGCTGAAGGTGTAGCCTCCGCGAATTGCGATAGGTTCTAAGCTCACACCAGGAGGCAATTGCGAGCCCCAGGTGCCAAACTTGGAGCTGAATGATGGGAAGCCACTGCCTCGTTCCTTTCGGCTTGATGCATCCATTGCCGGATATGCTGTTACAGTGCAACCTCAGACTGCTTTTCATCCTCTGGGGAAGCTTCGTGTTGCTTGTTGTCCTCTTAATGATTCCTTTTGGGGCACAGGCTCTGCATATCCAAAGTCTGTGTGGTTCGTCATGCCACTGCTACTCCTGCTACCTCGACAATCTCGCCGAGGTCAATGCCGATTCTAGGTTTCGGCTGCTACAAAGTCGGGGTGTTGGCCTTGATCTGTCCCAATGTGCTGATCCAGAGGCACATGTAAGCTCTGCAAACACTATGCAGAGGTGGTTCCTGGGTCAGCTGCAGGGGCTGCCGATGCGCCCAAGCCAGCTCCAGCAAAGGGTGTGACGCCCCTGGGTATATCGCCAATTCTTTTCAGCGCCGGAGTCGATTGGCGAAAAGGTCATTGCGGACGCCCTCGCAGCCGGCTATCGATGCTTCGATTGTGCACAGTTCTATGAGAATGAGGCCAGATGGCACATGATGAACGTGTCAGCTAAGCATATTCGAAGTAGTCTTTTATCGTGTTGAGGATGCCATTGGCGAAGCGTTCCAGGCGTGTGTTCTGGAGTGCCGCCTTCAGTTCCTGTCATCAGCTCCAGGTCGCTGGCGTTCCCAGGGAAGAGCTCTACATCATCTCCAAGGTACGCATTGCGCATGGCACGCGAACTCGGGACAATTCGGACCTTCAATTGAGCATGTTCTCCAGGTTTGGACCAACAATATCCACGATGGCCCAAAGGCTGTCCGAGCCTGGAAGAGAGAGCCTGGTGATACTGGTGCAGCACCTCGTACATGTGCAGTCCATCCGCCGTTCGCAAGCCAAAAAGGTCCGGCAGCAGTGCCTCAAGTCCATCAAGGCACCGGGAAGTCGGCTTTGCATGGGCTTACCCCCCCCTCTGAAGAGCATCTGGCCAGGACCTAGGCTGCGGCTTCCTTGACCTTTACATGATCCACTGGCCGGTCCCTGGCAAACACGTGGAAGCGTACCAGGCCATAAGCTACACGGCGTTCATGCGTACTGTGTACGTCTCCATGTTTGGCGCGTCTTTTGGCTGTGCAAAGCAGGAGCTGGTGGCTTTGCAAGCGGAGGCCACGGGCCACTGCCGGGCAGCTCCGGCGGGCCCGGCCGGGTGTCAGTAAAGCGGCGAAGCCTCTGCTTGTCAGGGCCTGATCAAGTCCATCGGAGTTTCAAATTACACCGTCGAGGATGCCACGAACGTACGCTGAAGTGAAGTGCGTGGGTTGCTGGTGGGAGGACCTCTCAGAACTTCAGGCTGCAAAACTGCCTCTCCCCGCAGTGAATCAGATCGAGTGAAGCCCTCGGTAGAGGGACACAGCTCTGTGCATTTTATGTTGGCAAGTCCTAAGTCGCCAGGATTAACCCCTTTTTGTACCGGCAGAAGCAGGTTCCTCAGACATTCGCAGACAGAGGCTGTCAGGACTCCATGCAAAGAGGCCAGGAGAAATTGCCTGGGTCACATGCCAGGACCATCGCGCATTTCAAGGGACTCGGCATACAACTGCAGGCCTCGGATGCTGAGCATCTGCCGTGACCGTCTGCAGGCAGCAAAGGGCACAGACGCACGCGCTATCCGCTACAATGCCTGGCAAGGCCTACCGAGCACTCTGCAACTTTGGCAAGGCGGCCTCGCTCGAGAGCGAGGCACGAGGCTCACGCAGTGGGGCACGGCACAAAGCAAGCCCTCCAGTTCGAAGTCTTTTCTGCCGAGCATCTCTTCAGCCTTGAGCCGTCTTAACCTTCATTCCCTTGGTCTTTTGCTGGGATTTTTCGACGGGTTGGCTATGGTTGGCTCTGTAGTCGCGAATCGATTCAAAGATCTTGTGTGCAGAGAGTTTGCTTGGCCGGGTCTCTGGTCGCATCCTCAGGTTTTCTGATCATGTGGTCAGGCGCATCCTTCGATGTACAAAATAAATAAATAAATAAATAAATATATATATATATATATATATATGTATATATATCGGAAACCTGGAGCCGAGCCAACAGAGATATGGGGTATGTCCCAACAGAAAAATGCGAGTAACAACTGCACCTTCCTTCTTATGCCAAGTTCTCATTACGACTTCGATTTCTCTCTTTGAAGGTCGTGGGTGCTTTGGCAGCTAAGCATGGCCGTTCTGCATCTCAGATTCTTGGAAAGTGGCAGTGCGCTGAGCTTTGGGGCCACCGAGAGCACAGACTTGTGCTTGAGTTTGAGCTGTCTGTCCAGCCCAGGTGTATACAGAAAGGCTTCCAGCACATACCAAAGAGCGAAAAGCGCTCCAGGCCCCAGCGAGCTCTGCGGCACCTGTGCGATGCAGTAGAAATTGGGAGCAGGATGGAAGAAAATGCGCGCCTCTTCGACTTCGAGCTGGACACAGAGGACCCCGGCACCAAGACTGCGAACTGCCATACCGTGCTTTGAACACGGTATGCACTTGGGCAGGATATGGACAAATTGGAGAACCTGACAACTCCAGCAGCGCTGGAAACCTTCAAGCTGGTGCCTCAAACGAGCGCACGTGCACGTGCGCCACAACTGGACAGCTGCGAAAGCCCACCAACCAGAGCAGAGTTTCAGGCATGAGAGACCCGACAATTGTGGATCTACAGAGCTCACACAGCCCTGTGTCCGGAGAGGTCCTCCTACCTGAAAGGCATCGTGCGAGACACGCCCTTGCAGGTCCTGACTCCTTTTTTCCGAGTTTCGGCTGCATTGCCTGCACGTCGTTTCAGCCTTCAATCCAGGCCAGCGCAGAGGCCATCAGGAAAGACATCACCCTTGAGTAGCGTGAGCCTAGACGCTTGAATATCGTGAAAGAACTGCATTGTGCCACTGCTGCTTGCCGGATTGTCGAACTCAATGTTCACCGCAGAAGCACAGGTGGCACAGCATAGACGCACGGGCCGCCAAGTGCGTAGTTGCTGCATTTCGATTGTGCCGCGAATTGGCTCGAAGCACCTGGGTCAGCCAACGTGGCCTTGGAGGTGGTTATTGCCAGCCGGCTTAGATTCCACGGATCCGCCCAAACACGTTTGCACTGATTCTGTTCTGGCACCCCAGGCACAACGTCACACAACGCCACTGAGACTCTGCAGGCGGCAGGGGGCTGGACTTCCAAGATGACGACGGAGAAGGACGGTGTTTTTGGGACCCGACAGTCGGGTTTGTCGATAAGCCCGTTGCAGCAGGAAATGGACTTGTCCGGGGAAAAGCTGGTTGTCAGCTCAGCTGTTGCATCCAGCCAATGCGATGCTTCCTCCCTGATGCTGCCGAGTCCGTCAGCGACTTCAGTCTCGGGAAAACGCTGGGAACTGGAGCTTTTGGACGGGTCAGGCACGTGCCACAGACGAAATCTCAAGTCGCATGCCGCCGCCTTGCTTGTGCAGGTTTGTGACGCACAAAAGCAGTGGAAGACATTATGCCTTGAAGACGCTGAAAAAGGCCGCTATCATCAAGATGAAGCAGGCACCCAACTTTCGGTTCGATCGGGGCAATAGACTGCTAGAGCCATTTTCCATTGACAGGTGGATCATATCATGAGTGAGAAGCAGATCCTCGCAAAGCTCCAGCATCCGTTCATTGTGAACATGTCTGACCCTTTGCACATTGCATGGCTCTCCTGTTTCGCGGCCTTCCATCACCTACATCAATGCTTCGAAGGTTTGGCTCCTTCCATGATCCTCGCTACATTTACATGGTCCTGGAGCCGGAGGCTAAGATGTGCCGAGGATCTCCTTGACTAGCTTCGTTGTGAGCCGTTTCAAGTGGAGGTGGTTCGGAAAACTCAGGTACATCGTTGGAGGTGAGTTCTTCACCCATCTTCGAAAGGCCCGATTGAGCGCCCTAGGAGGCAAGGCATGCTCCGAACTGCTGGTTCTCTTCAGGCTGGACGGTTCGATAATGAGCAGTCACTTTTCTATGCAGCGCAGATCACCTGCATCTTCGAGTGCTCCCTGGGACAAGTGTAATGGGAGCATCTTCTTCGGGCTACGGGTTCTTGTTTCCATCATGCTTGGTTTTTTGGCGCAACTTCAATTGCCAATCTCCTCTGCGATGCAAAGGCTCACGTGGGGATCTCACTTTGCCTCCTTCTCTTCTGGGGATCCTCACCTGACTCCTTTCACTCTTCCACTGCCATGTCGGAGACATCTCTAAAGCATGATGCCGAGCAATTTATTGTCTGTGACCGAGTTGAGACTCTCCTGTTGACCACACAGCTTTAGGATTCATCTTCAGGCGGGGTTTTCTCTGCAAATCCGCAGACACACAATGGACACGGCCATTGCCGACAGCGAATCTCTTTGAGATGCGAACCAACTGATGGTTTCGAGTCCTTTGCGTGTCGGCGGCTGTCTTCAAACAGGTATTGCCACGAGCTGAACATCGTTTATCGTGATCTGAAGCCGGAGAACATCTTGATCAATGCGGACGGCAGTAACCCTAGTCGCCAACAGGTACCAGATGGGTGGGCAGGTCAGGCTAGAGCTTTCTCAGGCTATGTCAAGCTCACAGACTTTGGCTTCGCCAAAGTCATCGAGTCCACCGCTTACTGATCCGAAATGACATGCCAACGAGTACTGTGCATGCTGATTTGGCAACCGAGGCACCGCACATACACACTCTGCGGAACGCCGGAGTACATTGCGCCAGAAGTGCTGCTCAACAAGGGGTTGGAGTCCTCAGTTATAGGCATGAGTTCTGAGTGTTGTGGGAAGGGTGATGCTGTGTGACGATCAATTGGCATGAGGCATGGCAAGCCTGTTGACTGGTGGACGCTAGGCGAGCTTCAACTTGCCACGAGATGTGAGACACGTTTAGCTAAACTTTGCGGTAACAGGTAGCAGACTGCAAGCTGCAAAATGCAGGCATCCTTATCTATGAGATGATTGTCGGCTATCCCCCGTTCGTCGATGAGGACCCGACAAGATCTCAGATTCACCAAACGACAAATGCTTGCCTCTGCACTTGGCCTGGCTTTTCAAAGCCCTTCAAACTAAGGATGGGCATCTACCAGAAGATCCTGGCAGCTGCCTGAACATTGGGTGGCGAACCGTCCTGCGTGCAGCACGGAAGCTTGGAACCAAGTTGGAACCAAGGCTGGCAAGATCACCTTCCCGAAGATTTTCCACAAGGAGGCCGGCGGCCGGGAAGGGGGGGGGGGCACCCATACCAAAAAGGAAAGGCGCGAAACGGCGCTCCGTCCCGAGTCCAAGAGCCAAAGAACCGAGGCAAAGAGCTTGGTGAAGAAGCTGCTCACTCCCGACCTGGGCTGGGAACTCGGTTGCGAGCAGCGGAGCAGCGGAGCAGCGGAGCAGCGTTGAACTTTTTTCTTTCGGTCAGACACTACTCACTACTCGGCTTCTTTGCACAGTGATGCTTCCTGTCCTCTCAAGCCTGTGCCATAGCCTTCTCATCGGTGCAGGCAAGCGCTTCGGCAATCTGAAGAACGGTGCAGCAGACATCAAAGAGCACAAGTGGTTCAAGGCGTTGCACCTATTGCCCGGCTTGGCCAGCTTCGTCGCAATCAGCTGCGGCTGCAACAGGACCTTAGCTGGGATGACCTGCTTGCGAAGAAGATTGAGGCTCCCTTCAAGCCCGTGGCCTGGTTTGCCGCATTTCTTCTTGGGACTTGATGTATAGACTGTATAGATGCTTGAGTTCTCTCGCGCTAAGGCCAGCAGTGAAGGGAGCGACAGACACAAGCAACTTCGATGACTATCCGGATTCGGACCAAGAGCCTCCTGCAGTCAATGCGTGCGGACCTCACGAAGCGTTTTTGCTGAAGCCGTCCTCATACTCGTCAGCCAAGGTCTCAAGATCCGTTCACCAACTGGTGATTCTGGTGAACAAATGAGATGGAATTGAAAGTGGCAACTTGCGCATTCAAAGCGTGCGGGGTTGTTGTATCCAGAACTGATGAGGAAGTGTGCTCTGTGATGACTGTTTCAGTCCGATGAGCGCAAGCCTTCTTGGCAGGTCCAGATACCAATTTTTGTCGCATTGTTCGCTGAGATATCTATTTCAGGCTTCGCAAACCCAAATGAAGGGCATGTTTTGGCGTTGAACCCAGACTGGATAGCCAAATGCTGCCGCCGAATGGAGGCTGGATCTTTGGGTCCAGCCCTGACCAGCTGTACAATCCCCTTGCCTGCAGTGCCATCGGACCTCTATGGTCCTGGAATCTCTTTACCCTCGTGGTTTAGCATTGCGTCGGGCCGTATATGGACAGTTTCACACCTTGGGTGCTGCATCGTACTGCGAACCAATGTCATAACGCTTCGAAGGCCAAACGACCCAAGAAGACAAAAGAGATAGTGAGTTTGTAGTTTTTGTGCCATGTAGTATGTACTGTGCAAGCTTGGAAGCACGATATGCCGATGTCATGACTCATCTTGTGACTTGATATCTCCACCGCAACTGTTCAAAGGCTGTAGTTAACGGGACACGTCTAGATTGCTTCGAGTGAGGAGCTGGTTCGAAACGCGACAGTGATTCGTAGGGGTCGACTCAGAGGGCTGCATAGCAGAGGAAGGACGGACAGGACGGATCAAACATCGCATGGCCACAGCCTCGGGCAAGCCTCCGAAGCTGCCAGAGCGAGCAGAGCGAGAAGCTCGCATGCTGCCCAGTCTGCAGAGCATCCACGCAGTCCAACCCTGACATCGTCATGCTGCGTGTACGGCTTTAGGCCCACCGCCTCCGTTCCCGGGCAGACCCGAGAGGTGCACGTTTGCCTTTAGTCGAGCTCAAATCGAGTCCACACTGGCAACTTGACAGGCCAGCTCGTGAGGAGGCGCAGACTGGTCCACCGGTCTTGCAAGATCAGCTGCTTGTGCTGAGAGGTCCCTACACGCGGTGAGGCAGAAAGCCCACCACAACCACCTCCAGACGCACTGCCACTCGCACCACCACCGCCAACACTAGGCGCTGCTGCAAGTTTCAGTTAGTTTGCAGTAGCCTTTGTTCTCGTTGGTCTCCCAGGCAGCAGGCGTACAGAATGCATAGTAGTGGCGTGAACTTTCTCGAGCTGCGCTTCTTGTCTCGAAGCATGCCATGCAGTTGCACTTTGCCGTAGTTCGCGCGCATCAATCCCCTTTTGGGCAGATTTGCATTGGCGACATGGCCGGTGCAGCCGAAGCCTGTCGCCTCATGCGAAGTGCAACTCCGGAGCCTCCGCGAGCACCTCAGATTCCTCTCTCACGTGCCGATGTTCAGAGCGCGCATTGAGTGCACGCCTGGCAGTTGTCTCCGAGCCGTTTGCCGCGTGCGGGGGAGTTGCAGGATCGCCTTTGTGTCTTGGGAAGGAATCTTCGGAGCATGGGCACCTGGCAGGCTACCCGGCAGGTGTCCATGCCGGCCATGCCCATCATTCGAAATGTACCCAGCTTTGTGCGGCCTCGAGTCCTGCCGGCGATGCCTTCGCTGCCGTGACGAGCTGTTCAGCCGTTGAGCTGTTTTTGTGCCTGTGGGGGCCCGGCCCTGCCCTGGAAGCTGTTGCGGCTTAGTTTCTCAGCATGCGGGCAGAGAACTCATGACTCAGGTTCCGATTGGATTTTCGCTCAGCGGAGGAGAGGTAAGTAAGACTGTACTGTAAGACTAGCGGATACTAGCGGAATACATCTGCAGACCTCTTGCCGTCGTGCCAGCATGCCTGAAGAGGCCAGGGAGACACGGCAAAGGGGCTGCATGTGCAGAATGTACCATTGGTTATTTATGCTGTTGAGACGCTTTGCCACTGTAGAGTTTGCACAGGCATGCAGGGGATCGATGGATCACCTCCAGCTGCCTCAGACGATCACGAGGTCGTGGCCTTCGCCACTGGGCAACGCTTGGCAGTCGCTCCCTGCTTGGCGGGTGCGACCTCCAGGGTTTGAAGTGCTCACAACCGTGCCATCTGTTCCTGAAACGCAGGAGTGGAGCGGGGGTAAAATCTTCGGTTGGTGATTTCTGTTGCTCTCTGGAGGGTGCTGGGGTCGATTCGCACGTCGGGCTCCATTTTGAATCACGAAGTCATAAAATCGCCGGTGCAAGCAACCTCCAGAAGCGCTGTCCTGTGAGTTAGGATCCGTCTGGATGGTCAGCCAAACATAAGTCACGCGAACAAGGCGTAGTCCCTTGAACGTGCAGTGGGAAGGCCTCAGTATAATCCACCCAGTTCTAGATGAAGTTCTGCTCAGACGGGTGTCGCCCTGGAAACCGTTGCCAATCAAGGCTATGCGCGCTGAAAACTCAAATCCTAAGAGGGCGTCGATTCGACTGAAAGTGTGATGTGTTGAGATGACACAAGCCGAATGCGACAGCATTGCTTTGTGTGTAAGGTCGTCACTCCGGAACAGTCCCGGCGACCGCCGATTTGGAGCTCTGCAGCAAGAGCCCGAGCTCCGCTCGTTTCCGCTCGCTTCCGTGCGACCTGCAGCTGCCGCCTCCAAGACTCAGGCGGCAGCGGTGGCGGCTTCAGCTGCAGCAGCTGCCGTGCACTGCTCAGAGATGCCAGCTGTATTCAGCGGTCCTGCAGAGAGCCATTGGACAGGCTGGAACACCACTATCTGATGCAAAAGTAAGGGAAGATATGTGGAGGAGGCGTGCTGACTTCGGCTGTTGGCTTTCCTCCAAATGCAGACATCGAGACATAGATGACAGGTTAGTTCACCGTCCTCTGCCTCCGGCCTTCTCCTCTCCTGCACCGGAAAGTGCCAGCCCTTGGATCACTGAAGTTCGGCTCCGCCTCCGTTCCTCTCCGAGGCACATCTGCAGCCTCGACCTGGACGCAGGCCAGCGGCGGCCAGTCTGCCCGAGACATGTGGCGTGCTCCGAGTTCCTTCCTGTGTCTGCCAGGATCCCGATCTGCCGTGCTCGGCCATGGAGGAAAGCCCTCACCAGGCACTGAAGCCGAAGCCACGTCTCACCTGCCTTCCTCACAATACACCCTCGGTGTACAGCATGAGCAGATATGAACGCCTTGAGTTCTCCTGTTTTGCGCGGCTTGGCTCGACCAGGAGAGGTGCAAAGGTGCAGAATGTGATTCAAGACGCGAGAGAGGTGGGGCCCACGCCGATGAACTTTTGAGGCGCGGAGCTGTTGAGGCAGAACTTTCGGTGATCCCTGCAGTCATCCGAGGCGACCATTGTTCCACAGCCCTGCTACGCAAGGACCGAGGTCTCAAACGCACGCGGATTGTCCTTGCCAGTTCAACCTGACAGTTCCTAGATTCTGACGGCACTGTCCGCCCGGCCTTCGGGCATGCACTCCATGGCTGTGTCACCAACCTGGGCACTTGCAGCTCTTCGTGTGCGGATACGGCTCAAGCTTCTTCCAATCATACACATGGCCGTAATCCCACTTCAGCAATGCTTATTTCGCTGCAAGCAGCTTCTGATGCACGGATAGCCAGGTGAGTTGCCGTAAGCAATCTGCTTTTACAGATCTCGAGCAGAAGTTTACTTTTCGGTGATGCAGGTAGCACCCCAGCCATATGTAGCACAGCAGTCCCCCACACAACAACTTGCTCTTTACAACTCGATCCGCCGATGGCGTGATAACTCCTAGAGGATGATGAGCTGACGATGGTGCAGGCTGCCGCACGGTGGTGTGCAGAGCATGTAATTGGCGCATGAATGTGTCTGGTCAAGGTTGCAGGCAGTGCAGCTCAAGCGGCTGCGGCGGCCGCCGCAGAAAGATTGAAAGACATACAGGAATGGCAGCTTTGAGTGCGTAAAGTGCTTCAGCTGTCCGGCTCAATGTCAAACTTTGACAAGGCTTTGTTGCTGCTTCAGCGGCCTGATTGAGAGCCTTGTGACAGGAAAATGCAGGCGGACAGACGCCATTGCAGAAGAAGTACTTCAATGCAGACATGATGTGCAGGCGCTGATTTACGCATGCAAGGAATCATCTGGACTTATCAAGATCGCCAGCATGACCGAAACGCAACATTCCCAATGCCAGATATGAAGCCCTTGCAGACTCCTTGGCCAAAGTTGATGCCCAGGACCACAGCAGAGCAGTGAACCGAGCCACGTGTCTCCGATCTGCTGCCCAGGAGGACGTGGGCGACGCGGATCCAGATGCGCTTGCGCGTTTAGAGGATCACTGGCTTCGCTTCATGGTCTGGAACTCGGGTCGGAGTCGTGCTGTACCAGCTTGTAGCACTGTGGTCACTCTCAGGACTTCACCTGGGCGAGCCAGTGGCCAGCTGAAATGCTGAAAGTGACCAGAAGCGTTTGCAGCAATCCAAGCCTCAGGTGCGGACTGTCATTGTGTGCACACAAGGTGGGATGGAAAGCGCTTCGACATCGTGTTCTACGGAGCTTCCGGCTACCAGGGCTACCTGATGATGCAGTGCTCCGTCTCAGGTATGCCGTTGTTCCTTCAAGCACGACTGGTGCTGCAAACTCTGACTAGGTATCTCAAGAGATGCGCCTTGCAGCCCAGTAAGCAGCAGTTTACCTTCGCTTTGGCCGGCCGATCTGCCACCAAGGTGGCTTCATGTCGAAACACGGTCATCTGTCATTCAAGTTGAGCAAGATCTTCCAGATTACAGTCACTGCATTTCGCATGATTCTTCATGTGAGAGTACCGTGTTGTTTTTCGGCTTTTCGGAGTTAATAGATAAAGTGGCTTCCTCAGGATTGCCGAGTACATTGGTTTTCAATTTTCGAACGATTAAGGAATATAGTATACAGGAAAGGCAGCTTCTCGGAATGTTTTTCAGGCATCAGTTTCCTGGACTCGTGAAACATCCCCCGGTCCGCAGCAACACAGACTCGCAAAATGTAGATGCGAAAGGAAGACATGCTTTTGCTCCCTTCAGAGTGCACCGTGCCCGGGCAGGTGGCAGAGATGCGGGACCGAGAGCTGAAAGACACACCGTGGGAGGAGCTCAGCGCTGCGCCGACAGGACATTCGCCTTTCCAAGCTTCTTCGCAGGATGCACCGGTCCTTTCGGCAAGCTATGACGATGTGGTCTCCATTGTGGACCTCGTCAAGAGCCCGAGCTGCAATTTGTTGCAGTGAGAACCAGATGCCGGTCGACTCGAAACATTTGACAAGGAGTGCTCACGTGGTGGTCAACGTCGCTGGCCCTTACATGTTGGCAGAGGGCGAGGCGTGGGAGCGGTGTACTACCCTGGACCCTCTGCCCCGATGTGATGTTTCGGGCCAGTGCAGGTTCTCGTGGATGCCTGCATCTGGTGCAAAGCGCACTACGTGGACGTCAGCATGGAGGCGACCAGACTGTAGAGGCCATATCTTGGAGAGATGGTCCAATGGTCGTAGAGGTCCCATGGAGCCTCCGCGTGAAGGACACCTGGGACCTGACAGATAGGCGAGCCTCCGACTCGCGTAGACCTCGCAGGAGCTTCACCGGTACGCACGAGATGTTCAGTCCCCAGCTTTCACTTTCGCTGGCTTAGCTCTGCAATCTGGATTTCCTCAAGTTCGTTGCACGAGTTCCTCCCCAGGCTCGTGTGACGGTTGTACCGTCCTGTTGCGGAAGCGCATATCCTGATCTTGGAGTGTACATGCTGGCCAAGCATTTCAAGGACTAGCGCTTTCTCGGTTCTGTGTTGTCGACTGCCGCGTCGGCAACAATAACAACCAGAGGGTCGAAGCAAGCAGAGACAAGTCCTTGCATTTCTGGAGGAGAGTGTTGGGCAGGCAGGTGGTTCGCTTGCGTAACAGCGCAGATGGTCATGGCGATCTGTCATGGTGAGGCGACTCGATCCGCCGTGTGCTACTGTGGAGGCCCGGTCTGAAGTAGGTATGTCGTCATAGCGCGGGGAGAAGGATAGACTTGAGGTGGCGGCCACGTCGCCGGCGTGTCGGCTGGTACTTTGAAGACTCGGGCAGCATTGAGTGCCGCCTCAGATGGCAGCATGGGAGCAGAGGCCGGCAAGACTCGACCGACAAGACTTGTCGGGCGCCGCTTGCATTGACAGCCTTGACAGGTGGCAGGTGCAATGCTGGATCCATTTTCGCAGCCCGGCAAGAGGTTGTAGTGAGCGCTTGGAGCAAGTGTTGGCCCGCATGGTGAAGCTAGTCTTCAACTCGTTCCTCTTTTTTTGCAAGGATGGGTGGCTTCATCCCGCAGTTTGATCGTAATGGAGCACTTGTGCTGCAACAGACAGTTGTTCAGAGACTCTTGTGACGTTGCAGCCTGTCGTCCACGAACCGTAATCAGGTCAAGCAGGTGGACATTCAAATGGGCACAGGCCTTGTGACGCCGAAGCCACGCGTCGAAGACCAGGAGACCTTTTCCTGCGATTTTCTTCCTTTCGATGTTTGACGTGGAATGGAACAGCAGTCTTAAGAAACTTTTGGCCCAAATCCGGAAGCGTCACCACATGGAGCATCCGTTCTGGAATGTGAGAAGACGCTTGAATCACGGTCGTGGTTGCACACAAACGACTTGGTGGATGGCAAAGCACACGCTGATGAGTGTGCGAGGCACCGGAGTCCGGTGGTTTGTAGAGCATTGATGCGTCGAAATCCTGTTCATGAGCCAAGGGCCAAAGCAAAGCCCGATTTTGCTGCTTCAGACTGGTTGTGGCACTGGAGAAGGGGGGCGGAGTAGTGCCAGACGAGGCAGCACTGGTCACCGGCTGCAACAGTCGAAATCATGATAGGCCGACATGCCACAATAGACAGGCACACCACTATTGCTTGCCACATTCAGCAGCAAGCGAACTAGCCGCGTGTACGGAGCATCGCAAGATGAGAGAAGCTGAACTGTCAGGACAGCCAGATGGCGAAGATATCGGAGGACATTATGATTGTGCAATATTGCGCAGAAGGGCTTTGTGGATCGTGTGTGTTGCTGTCAGGACAAGAAGCTAGGTGTTTGGAGAGCTCCCTATGTCAACTCTTTCTTCGACACTCGATTGGTACGGCGGTCCAACATGCTGCAGGCAGATCTGGCGTCGCTTGGGCGGCAGCCGAGCGGCGCGGGAAGTACCCTCTGCTCCTTTGCTTACCCTGTCAGTAGCCAAGGAACGAGCCCTACGGCCTCACGTTTAACTTCATGGAGTTTGCGATGCTGCCGCCGGAACGCGTTGCAAGTCTGAAGGCCGGAGGCAAACGGAAATGAAAAAATAAGAAGCTGCCAAAAAGAGCTTCTGAGGCGATGCCAGATGGGCAGGACCGCAGTGTGCTGCAAGAAGGGGCACGGACGAATGATATGACTTGAACTTGGAGCCTCGAGCCCCTGCTGTGTCCTTGGGAGGCTTTGGCTCCCTTTGGCCAGTATGGCATCACACTCGACGAAGAGTTGCGCGTTTTGAAGATCGAGGGCAAGGACCATCGGGCGGCACTTGTCAAAGCCTTTCACTGTCAGTGGCCGCTTCGCCGTCCCCCACAGTCCCACCCGCCGCACGCTTCCGGGGTTTGCTCTCGGGCTCCCGTGACGGGAGGCACAGTCACGAAGAGAGCAGGCAGCAAACTCTCGGGCCCCGTCAAGGCGACTCCGGAGCCCGAAGCAGTGAAGCTGCTTTACCACTGCGGGGTTTTGGCGTCGCCCTTCCTCCTCGCAAGCTCTTGTTTGCAGTGTGCAAAGACAGCTTGCTAGAAAGAGCTGCAAGCGGGAGTATGACCATGACTGGTTTCAGCTTCCCTGAAATATCCCAACCCCAACTGTTCGAGTTCGAGCACAGGTAGCTCTCACGGAAGTAAAGCAGCATTATCTGCCAGGACTATCACCAAGTCGAGGGGCCGCCGGTGGAGGATCTCCGTCTTCCCTCTACTCTCTCTCGCTACTCTCTCCCCATCTCTGTCTGATGCACCGTAGCTGTACTCGGGACAGAGAGGATCTGAGTGCGTGGACCGGCTACTTCCTCCATGCGGAATCTGTTGATGGTCACCAGGCCTCGCAGCGCGAGGAGTGCAGCTTGACTGCTGGGTTTGCAATCGCGAGCAAGGCGAAATGCAGCATCATTGCGGCAGACGGCTACTTTGAGTCAGCTCGAGTCGCCGCCGCCCAGTCGCAGATTCATCTTGCATGAAACTTGCACTTCGTTTTCTGCTAATTCCAGGTAGAGACGGCGCTGACGTTGCGCTTCGACTCTGACAGGCCCGTTCCATGTGCTAGTGTTGCCGGGTGATCCCCAAACTTGTGAAGCTTTCGAGAGGCTTCAGCACTCAGGAGGCGTGCTCACACCCAGCGTCGCAGGCCTGGAAACGAGTACCTGTTGCTGCCGGCTGAAACGGCGAACAAATCTTCATTCACATCACTCAGCACTCAAATGAATCTGCGAGCCATGTACGCATGGCTTTGCACCAGCTATGGCACAACTGAACCAGGTGGGACGTGCCTTTTGGAGAGACTCATCGACTCTGGCGTGAAGTTCAATATGGGAGGTATGACCACCTATCGGGCTCTTGCAGAAACGGAGGTTTGTTTGTCGAACCTGTGCTGACTGCAGGTTGGTTCGAACCGTCTGAGTGGGCTCCACCCGACTTGCCTCATGCCGCAGCATGATCTTCCAACGATCGTTTTCAAGCGAGATATGCAAAACGTGTCTGAACAGTTCCTACATCTGCCGTCAATGCTAGTGCAGCACGTGTTGCTCGCAGGATTTTCACAGCTGCAGAGCGGAACAACTGCTGCCTGATGCACAGAACGATTGCAGGATTCTGGAAGTGATAGGGCTCCTCCATTGCCCTGAGGCCGCGAATGACAATTATTCGTGCGCTCTGCGTGTGGAGGCTGAAACTCATCATGACAGCAAGCAGCGACATCTTGACGGCATCAGGATCATTAGGATGAGATCTGCCACCTGAAACAAGCACGGTTTGGTTTGTTGCAGGGAGCAGATAGGGTGCCGGAAACTGCAACAGACGAGAAGCACAGACTTCTTAAGCCCCCTGGAAATTAAAAGTGCGCTCGGCTTGAGTTGCTAGCCGCTAGCGCCAGTTGGCAGGGTTCAGACAATGCACCACGGGACCACGTCATATTCAGCACTGAGGGGAGTCGTGGTGTGATGCGGGGCTGGTTTGTTTGACCGTCGGTTTGACGATCTGCAACAGGTCTAAGACTTCCAATTACCTGGAGGGCCTTGCTGGGTGCTGTTCGCTGCTCTTTGCTGGCTGTCAGGAACCCATGATCGGGGATTTCAAGACTGTCATTCAAATGCTGAGACGCAATGGTTTCCAGGAGGCTGTTTGCTCGCGACTTTGAGCTCTTGCGGCACGCAGCATCGTGGATGCGCAGGTTCAACACGTTCTGATGTCGAAGGATGCAGATGCGCAAGGTGTGCCAGGTGCGAACGGCGAACCGTGCCCAATCATCATGCCGTCGACCTGAGCAGATGTCGGAGAGGCAGTTGCCTTGCAGGTGGTCAGTTGACGGAGCTTGTAGCCGACGGGCACGGCCTGTGGACGACCTGTGCTGAGGCCAAGTTCTCACGGCCCAGGCACAGGCTTGAGCGGCTTGCGCTGAGCGCAATTTTCTGGGAAGGTGTTGCTGGCTTACGAGAATCGCGGACGGCGCTTGCAGCAGGCATTGCTGGGCGAGCGGACCGAGGTCAGACATCGCAAGGGAGCATGAGCGAGCCTTTGCAGTTTGCTGTGAAGGAGAGATGTCGGCGTGATGGTCGAGTTCACAGTCTGCTCCACGAAAATTCCAAGTTACAGGAGCCAGCTGTCCTGAGTAGACTGGGTAGGACTGGCGAACCAGTGCTGCTGATGCTGTTGAGGAAGAACTGAAGGCGGCCAAAGAAACGCACAGAGCAGGGACGTCAGGAAGCAGGCACATGCAATTCTTTGCATTACCTTCTCGTTTACAGTTAAAGGTTACAAGATGTTGCAGGAAAATTTCCACGTCCATTCGACTTTCGGCCCAAGCCTAGCAGCATCAAGGAAAACGTGGTTTCGCACGTTTCCTTCTTCATATACATGTTCTGCCTTTCCAAGAGCTGAGCGCGAGACCTTGAGTTGTATCTAAGCATGCAGGGCTCGGCTGCCGAGTTCAGATTTGCTTGCCGACGCTGAGGTGCCATGCCGACGTGGCTTGGCCTTCTTGGCGTTCTTGTTCTGCGTGCGGAGGGCCTGGACACGGTAGCATCGGTTGCGATCTCTTCGCACGGTGAGGCGAGAGGGACTTTATGCTTATTACATCGCCGGATGCGCATTGGACTGGTGCCACACTGCCCTGAAAGGTGTCCTTGGTCCAGCGACATGTGGCTTTGTCCCAGAAGCAGCCTGAAGTGGTAGTGTACTACATCAACACAGATGCCGAGGACGGCATGCCACCGATGTAACGGCAGGGTTTCGGGCCTGATTCGTTGAGCTTTGTCATTCGTGAGGTAGAGCGTCGCTCCCACATGGAGCAACAGGCCGCAAACGGTGGAGCCGGTGGAGTGTAGAGCTGCAGACGAAGCTGAGCGTGTTTGATGGCAAGGGAAGGGCTGCCAACATGCCTCTGCACAGATTCCAGGCCACTTTGCTGCTCTTTGTGATGCGTCACAAGAAACCAACACGTTGTGGCCGAGGCGGTCGACCGATCACGCATCAATGCCGGCGAGTCGGGCACTTGCTGTAGCGTTCTGCACGGCAGATGTGATATTGCTTAACGCTCGCTTGGGAAAGGTTCGACGAGAAGTACGTCAAGAAGCAGCACCTGGCGAGCGAGCTTCTTGATGCACATCGCCAGCAGGACTTCTCGAAAGATCTCTGACGGTAGGCGCCAGTGTCGGCTGGTTTGTCGAGTTCTCGTCCCGTGCTGCATGAGCTTTGATGCGTGCAGGACCATGTCCCCAACGCAACCATTGCAGGACGCCCAGTCTATGCAGACCGCCACGCCACCGCGCCCTTGCCCCGCTTTACTGTTCACCCGCGGAGGCCCAGGCGGACGACTTGCGAAGCGTTTACAACAACCGAAACCCCTTTGCCAACGACGACTGGCATCTATCCAAATTACGTACATACCCGTCCGAATTGTCTAAGTACCCGGTAGAACGGTAGAACTAGCTCAAACCGAATCCCTTTTGGAAAATCATCCCCTTGCGCCTATCTAGCTGTTCGTCGAAATTATCCTCTCGCCCTGTCCACCCCCTTACCCCTCCAAAAAAAGTCACCTGCTGAACTCGTCCTACCGCTCGGTTTGGAGAGCCTGGGTTAGGATTTTACCCAGTTGCATATTCCAGACAAATTCAGATAAAATCTACCTTTTTTAATTTGACCATCGCCCACACTCTTGTAATCCTCCATATTCAAGAGCAAGCCTCCTCGCGCTCTGCGCGCACGCAAAGTACAATCAAGGCCCCGTTGTCACGGACATCGGGATGACCTCCGACTATCGTTATCCCGTTGCGTGTACGTGCTACGCAGGGTTGCTGAGTCTGGGCGTTTCAGTGACGGTCATGGCGGCCAGCATCAACTTGTCTCCCCCTGCCGCGAATATGTAACTTGCATCGAAAGCACGGTTGCGCGGGAGAACCGTTGTCAAGCATTCCAAAGACAAAATCCCATGGTGCTGCCCGTCAAACAGATCCAAGAGAACACCCACCGTCCACAACAGTTTCATTTAGCGCAGCCCAAAAATGGAGCGCTTCGTGGCGATTCACATTGCTTTCCCATCGCCCAACCTGACGACCACCACTTCAGCCCGGCAGGTACATGCAGGTTTGCAGTCTCCAACTATCATCAGGTTTTGCTCGTCGCGTTCCGGGGATGGAAAACTCCGTGACGCCTCGTGAGCTCTCAAACTGCCACGGAAGTACTGCATTAATTTGGCCGCGAACCCTCCCTGACTCCACAAAATTGATTCCGTCATGACTCGCGAGGCTAGATCGCCTGTTGCCATTCCAGATGTGGAAGTTTGAGCAGAGGGACCCGACATAGCCAGCTCCATCATGCTGCATGCTGTGTATTGGACTCCCTCATCCGAAAAGCCCGATGGCCTGCCTGACTGGCGTGGGCTGCATTTTGGTACAGGGGTCGCTTAGCCAACTTTTTTTCGGGTCGCTTAGCACGCTCCAGTTTTGGTCGCTTGGCACGCTCATTTTCACAGGTGTTGGAAGCCCAACAAAGAACCCTAAAAGGAAACCCTAAAGCCTAAACCTTAAACCCTCACAGGAAACCCAAAACCCTAAACCCTGAACCCTAAACCCTAAACCCTGAAAAGAAACCCTAAACCCAAAACCCCCTGAACCCTACACCCAAAACCCTAAACCCTAAAAGGAAACCCTAAACCCTGAACCCTGGACCCTAACCCCTAGACCCTAAAAGGAAACCCTAAACCCTGAACCCAAAACCTTAAACCCTGAAAGGAAACCCTAAACCTTAAACCCTCAACCCTAAACCCTAAAAGGAAAGCATAAACCCGAAACCCTGAACCCGAAACCCTAAACCCTAAAACCTAAAACCCTAAACCCTAAACCCTACACCCTAAACCCTAAACCCTAAAAGGAAACCCTAAACCCTAAGCCCTCAACCCTAAACCCTGAAGCCTAAACCCTAAAACGAAACCCCACACCCTTAACCCTAAACCGTAAACCCTAAACCCTAAAAGGAAACCCTGAACCTTAAACCCTGACCTTAAACCCTGAAAGGAAACCCTAAACCCTAAAAGAAACCTTAAACCCTAAACCTTAGAGGCAGGGCATCTAAAAACGCGGGCAGCAAGACAGCGAGACGGCGCCAGGTGGTGTGATGTGCAAGAAGACCCCTGGAGGCAGATCATGCACTTACGGCAGGTTGCACCCCCCTTGCAACGGATGGTCAGGTCCGAGCAACACATCGCGCGGTCGTGGCTTCAGGCAGCTTGCGGAGGCTTGTTTGGAAAGTGGGCTACTGCACGTTTGTGGTAGTTAACACTTGTGTGATCGTAACAAGTTTAGGTGCGCAAGGGCGGTAGGGTGGGAAATGCAGCAATCAACATCTTCAGATTTGGCTGCAACGGATCGGAAACCGATCTGAAGGTGATTTTTGTGTAGAGGGCAGCATTGGTGCATGTCGACCGAGCTACTCTTGTGGCACGCTCCTCAGCCGGAGCCCTTCACCTGTGGCGCCGTGGGAGCCCTGCTGCTTTTTCTTCTTTACTCGGCATTCTTGCTGGGGAGTGGTTGCTTGGTCGGTGCTAGACGCGCCGCTGCTGAAAGTCACATAGTGCAGCTTCCTTCAGGCTTCACCGTTCGGCTTCATGACTCTTGATCCGCCAGAAGACCAGTGGAACTCCTTCAACACCTTGACCAAGGTGGCTGAGTGGGCAAACCTTCCAGGAGAGGCTGGAGATAAGGCCACACCTCGGGGCTCCTTGTTCCATCTTCTTGGGGCGGATGGCTCCGAGGCTCCGCGAGTGATAGCCATGCTCTCAGTTCCAGACTTCGAGAAGCTGCTATCGCAATGGCGCATTTCTATGTCCGGTGGTGGTGCTCCTGCCACCGTGGCACCCACGGCGGTGCAGCTCGGTCAGGGCGCATTATTTGGAAGGACATGCAGAGCGGTAACGGGGATGTTGAAGCCCCCATCTCAGGCGCCGGGCCCATCAACACCAGCGCATAGCTTGACTAATTCTTCCGACAAGCGCAAAGTCAAGCTAAGCTCCGTCATCAATCAGATCGACGACTTTGAGATTGACATCTTGGATGAAAACACCATCCAAGCTGCCTACGCTAGGTACTCGAACCGCTTCGGTGCATTCCCTCATCCGGATCACGAGCTCAGCGCAGAACAGCTGAGCACCTTGCACTCCTTGTTCACCTCAGGCCGTGCCCCCTACACTGACATGGCCATTTGGGGGCCATACCACAAGCGCCTCCAGAAGAAAATTCGATTGAAGGGGGTGAAGTTGAACGCGCAAGGCGAGATCATTCCCGTCGAGATGAATGGCCCTCCGGATTTTGAAAGCTGGAGAGAGAGTTACGCTGTGTTCAAGACCGGGGCTATCATGTTCGATCAGATCAGTCCTGCCCGATTGGAGGCCTATGAGCATCGCATCCGGTCATACCACGAACGATATGGGCGAGAGTGCTGGGCACTCATATATCAAGCTGATGTGCGAGCCCGCTTAGAACAGACTGAGAGATTGCGGCGCATCGGGGCTGATGAGCTGGAGGCCGCTACAAAGGCCGGCGGCACGCACAGCTTCGACAAGAGAAAGCCATGGGAGTGGGTATGGGACAAACTTGTCCACGACCAGGCTTTCTGGCACCAAGAGCTTGAAGAGCCAGCTCTCCTCATCCTTTCCAAGTCCGCCAAGGTCCCCCAGCTTTTGGAGGATGATGCGGCTGTGGAGGCGCGTGCTTCGCCGCCCGGCGGCCCCGGCTCAGGACGTGGATTGAAGCGCAAGCGCTCTGACGGGCAGAGGCAACATATGGTGGGCGACGATGGACTCTTGACCCACAACAGGAAAGGAGTCGAGCTTTGCAGAGGTTTCCAGAAGGGAACCTGCAAGGAAAGGGACAAGCATGGCTTCTGCATCAAAACCGGGCGTACCCGACATCAGTGCGCCAAGTGCTTATCCGAGGATCACGGGGCAGATGTTTGCCCTAAGGACGCTCCCAGCCAGCCACGCACTTTCAAGCCGAAAGGTGGTGGGCGAAAGGGGGGCAAGAGCAAAGCTTGACAGGGGACGGATTGTCCCCTTGAGTGCATGCCGTGGAATTCGCAAGAGACCTTTGTGACTCGGGATCCCACCTCTCGAGAGCTTGTCCCGATGAGTATGGCCTCTCATTCTCAGGAGCCTACTGGAGGCATGGACTCCAAAACGGCACCGCCCCTACGCTTGCTTCGGGATCGGCGTCCCTG